AAAGGGTGTATGTCCTATTCAAGCCTGCTAGTGAGACCCACCAACCGAAGAACAAGCATGCGCTGGATCTACCATCTAGTATGATCGCGAGAGTGGCTTCATAGTCCAACAAATCACTGTTTCGCCCAGATTCCTGCTTCCAGTCTCGGCGAAACGGCCAAAGAAGAAGGGCGCTTGTCCACCTGCAATGGTAAGGGCAAGATGGAGAAAAAGAACAAGAGCAGCTGCCGTCACTGCATTCCTTTCAGAGGTTAGCGTTTGCCATTCCCCAATCCCTTCAGGGCCTTGGGCTTGCACCACACGCCTTATGGCTGTCAGGATTTACAGGCCTGGTGCCACCCCCCACTCCTGCTGACTGTTTTCATTCAATGCCAGGTTTTACAACGGGTGTTGAATCCGTCCGAAGCTTTTCGATTTGACCGTATGTATTGAAATTGCTATCGGGGCTAAAGGTATGACTGTTGGCTTCTCCGTGGTTGGGTCCAGGAGAAGTATCTTCACTGGGTGCTTGAAGGTCCCTGTTTGCTTCACAGCCACACCTTTCGTGCTGGCGCTCAGCACGGCACGCCATAATCTGCCCAAGCCCACAAGCTTCCGAATTCCGAACCGAGCAAGGCACCTGCGGTGTCGGACGCGGCTTCGGTGCTCCTGTCTCCTCCTGCGCAAGCAAGTTCGACTCGGCTTTGCCCTGTGTCATTGTTCATACAGTTCGGTGGGAGTGTAAGACAAACGATTCTTTCTTGAATCTTTGGTGGGGCCTTGGGTTGAATCCGCTCGTGTCGTGCAGCCGCGCGCCCGTTCAGCCCTCTGCAGCTGCCACGCTGCAAGCTCCAAGCGTAAGCATCTCACTGCCGGTTCCAAACGACGCTCAAAGATAGCTGCTACTGTATATAGTCTTAGTGTCAGGACGCTGCAGCCACGCCCTCGCGTTCAGATCTCCAAGGCAGAGATGGCGCAAATCTGGGCAGAACAGCACTGGGAGACACTCGGGACTTTCGAGGCCTCCACCACAGCTCCCAGTCGTGAATTGCCGCGAGGGGCTGCGCCTTCATGACTGCAGGAAGACAACTGCAAGATATGTCAGACAGTTTTGTGGGTCCTTTCTGAAGTCAACATCTCTGTCTTTCCAAGACAAAGGAAGTTTCAATCTAAGTTTCATGTGCCGATTGATTTGCTAAACCCTCGAGGACGACCGACACAAGTGTGAGACTAGTGTGCCCCTCACATCCAACAGCTGTGTGCTCAAGTTGCACAGCCGAAAGTAATGAGTACATCCGACCATGTCTGAGTCTGAAACAAAGCCGGGACTGAGCCGTGAATCCGGACCGTGTATACTTGTGCACGAGCCCCTGGGTGGCGCAGAAACGCCGCGCGCACTAGTCGTCCAGCCGTCGACGCATGCAAACATGGAATAACATGGACCTATCCCTCACATCTTTGGCCTGGGCGGAGATCGGGGCTTCGTGAGGCGGCGATGGTATGGCGCTGTTGATGCTGCTGATGCTGTTGCTGATGCTGTTGCGTCAGCGCCTCTGCTGACACCGGGCGCGCCTCACAGAGGACTGTTCCGGCTTGTGGTCTGCCCCAGATTCGGAGTCAAGCCCTCTGACACTGAACGCAGCACCCAAGCCAATGTGGCCGCCTGCAAAAGGTTGCTTGGCGTCAAGGCTTGCCTCGGACTTAAACAACCGCATTGTTAATTCATTCGTGATCTTTGCGGCACTTGCCTCATAAAACAACGTGCAAAAAGTCCATGGGGCTCTTGATGACTACATCCTTTCTTGCTGCTTCGACCTACTATCTATCCTCTAGGACGCTAGGACCTAGGAGCAGCCTGGAGCTGTGGAGGCCCAACCCCTCCACGGGCCATGCTGCACATCCCGTCTTCAGACTTTTAGTTACAACATGCTATTTTCCGCCAGTGCCTGCACTCATGCCAAGATCAGCACAGTTCCTCGCAGTGTCTCAAACGAAGCCTGACAATCCACTTGCCAGCTTGAGATGTTCTTCCCTTTCAGGTGCAGACTCGCAGGGCATCTGGATGGCATCCAGCGAGGCACGACCAGTTGGATGTGCCAGCCCTGCAGGGTGTCATGTGCGTAAGCTACTGTTAGTCACTGAAATCCTTCTGGAGCCATGAGCAGATTTGCAGCCTGAGCCTCCGCGATCCGGCGAAACGGCACGCGTAGGCGGTGCCGAGCAGGCTTGGAATGGGCGCTGCTGCACGCCCCCAGCCCTTCAACAGTGATTGACTTTTTTGAGAGCTACGTTCTTACTTGATCGGGTTTCCCACCACATCGGGCGGCGAAAGCAAAGCAAGCCTGCTTTCATGCTCTCACAGAACAACCTTTGTATCCAAGCAACTGAAACAGCACCCAAGACGAGCACGTACGAACGTACAGTGCGGCTTGCTTCTAGCTCATGCCTTAACTGCAACTCTGAGAACCCCTTCCATCCCCTTCCAATACATGCCGCAGCAAGCTGGAGTTTGCACACGTTGCGAGCATGCGCCCTTTTGTTTCTTGTGTTTCTTTGTCTTGTGGTGCGAGGGGGTGAGTGAAGGGGTGAGTGAATGTGAGTGTGACAATGGAGGGGATGGGAACAGTGGGGTTAAGCGTGACTGAGATTGCGAGAGTGCGATATATAGAGAGAGACAGAGAGAGAGAGAGAGAGAGAGAGAGAGAGAGAGTCCATCTCTCCCTCTGTCTCTCTCCCTCTCTCCCGGCATGCGGACTGTCTGTGTCTCGGTCTCGGAAGGTCTGGATGATACGACTACCACATCGTTGTCGTTCCAGTCAAGCGAGCTCTCCCCTTACACCCGCTCATACAGAAGCGGGTCTTGCCTGGCAGCTGCTTGTGGCAGCGCCCGTTGGTAAGGGCAAGGTGCTTGGACGACCATTGGCCTTGGTTCTGAACAGGTCTCCGAGAGAGGTGTGGAAGGAAAACCGAATCTCTACAGTACGTCTCTACATCTAGATTCGGTATTCTGCAAAGCTGAACTCTGTGAAGGCAACCACCGGCGCAACCCCACCCAGGTTTGCAGTCGCCTGATGCAATCTTTCTGCCAATTGCGACTCATCTTGAGATTTTGCCTAGTTCCCTTGAGGTTCAAATGGGGTATGTTTACACTAGAATACCAGGCCAGGGTTGTGGCGAACAGCATGCCGGAGCACGTCTCATCTCCCGAAGCTTCTAGGGTTTGAGGCCGTGGGGTTTCTAGAGGCTCCCAAGTCAAGTCCGGAGGCTTCCCTGGCAGAGTTGGAGTGGGCCGCATCGGCCCGCCGGCAGGCTTCATGGCGCAGATTCCAGGGGTCTCTGTGGAATCGCGAGGCTACGAAGCGTAGGGTGCCTCATTCCTGTGCTCGGTCGTTGAGAAGATGGTCTCGGCTGGTCATCTCCGGAGCTCGGTCCAAGGGATGACAATGGCAACATACGGACTCTAGCGGCCTGAGCCCGAAAGCTGAACATGCTGCACTGGCCTGCAGCAAACTTAAGGCGCTCGAAAGCACAAGCTGAACTTCAACTGCTGCTTGAAACAAGACCCACGGGAGTCCAGCAAGGGAGGCGGATAAGTTTTATTCTGGCAGCCGTGTGTGCTGCTGCCTTTTCACTGCGTGCAGCAACTCTCTGGGTGCTGCTCAAATCAAAGAGAATGAGCCCGGCTTTGACTCACTTCTTTCCATTAAGCAATATGGGCCGCACCAGGCACCCCCAAAAGCAACTGGATGAGCCGAGCAGTGCCGGGTGCTCGTCGCTTCGATCTTTCGACCAGCGGGAGGTTGCACCCCGAGCCGTGACTCATGAACACAAAAGTTGCAATTATCAAAGTCAACATGGGTTCGTTCTGGTGCCAGTCCCAAAGCAGCTTGCACTGTAGCTATGCATTTCAAGCAGCAGCTGCCCCTCTTTTTCAAGGGCAGGCTGTGCCGTTCCGCAGGGCACTGTAAGCTTTTTCCATCTGTTACGACGGGAAAACATACATGCGTGATTGTAGCAGCGGAGTGAAGCTGGAAGCAGATCTGCTAATGCAATGCACTCTAAAACATAACGTAAGTATGAATGAATGAACGAATGGACGAACGAACTGAAGGAAAGAATACATCGCCGTAAAAACGCACCTCACGTAAGTAATGTATGAAGGATGCGAACGAATGTGCCAAAGCATGAATACACGTATGTACATATGCGAGTATGCATGTATGTATGCATGCATGCACTCATGTGCGCCCGTCTGAGGCGTGACGGCGTGAACCATTGTATACATAGATATCTATCAAACGTGCAGGCTCGCAGTTAAAATTGCAAGTTATGTCATGTTCCTGCGCTGTGTATTGATTCCGAACATGTGAGATACCAGTACGTGCCTTTGCGCGCTGCGCCCAGGATCTCAGTGGTCGCCCGTGAGGCCCGGCACAATCAGCATCAAAGAATCTGGGTTCGTTACATTGACAGGGCTGCTTGCATCAACTGGCGTAGATGTCGTGTTGAAAGCTGCAAAGGTTAAATTTCCTAAATTCTCTGAATGCGATGGCGAACGGTTGTACAAGGACCCTGCATGTAGGGTGTCTGAGGTGCAGACTTGGTGCTGCCCTCTGATTCTGAGAACAAGAATGACCGGAACAGCAAGGTCTGCATCGCTGCTTTGTGCTGTATGACAGTACAAGTATTGCCACTGCATATTGCATGAAGCGAAGAAAGTCGGAAGTGGCCAGAACCAGGCCAGCCATGCATCTCTGCTCATAGCATTCAACGGATCTCTGCGATGGGCTTGACGCCGACCTGCAACAGATCGATTCTCCACAGTAGAACTCTGTTGTAAGAACATGGCAGCAATCGGGCCCGATCACACAGCCAGAGTGACTGCAGCACTCGGTGAGTCTGAGTCTGCGTGACAAGGCTCTCTCGACGGTTGCAGAACCTTCTGAACATGCATCCCTGGAGACAACCCTGCGAGGTTGAGAGCATCCACTCTCACATTCTTAGCCTCCCGCTGCTGCGCCTCATGCTGAGAAGCTTGGGTGCCTTCGCTTGATGCAGGAAGCTTGCGGAGAGCACGGGGATTAGTTCTGAAGAAAAGCATATCATCCGAGACGCCTTGCCTTTGCGAATACGGGTCTGGACTCAAGCTTGTTCTGAAAGAGCACAGCTACCGCTAACAATGCAGCACGCAACCAGCGTTGTGCATGCGAACACGGCAGACGCATCTTCATCTAGGTTCTCCTACATCTCGCTGAAAATCCAACGGTGTGTTCGAGATTCAGATCACAACAACAGGATACAACAGGAAGGTCCCGGTTGTCTTGTCTTCATCACCACGCCACGTCATAGAGGGAGTCTTCGCAGCAGACAGATTCACGGCAGTCGCCGCCGCCGATGCCGCTTCTCGGGTTGGCAGCACGAGACCTGGATCGCGCAAGGACTGTCTGGTGCTTAGTAGGGAGTGTGGAAAAGGATCCATATAGCAGCCCCCACATAATCCCCAATAATCGTCTCCTCCATACTAAGAACCAGACAGGGGAGATGCAAGTCAGGGACACTGGCCAAAGGAGCCAAGAGGCCGCTGGGAGGGGAGCGGCAGGCCCGAATCACCGCCGAAGTGGCTGGCCGCGGGAGTGGCGGCACCTCGTGGTACAGTAGGAAGATTGGGAATGAGGTACGGAATCACATGCATGGTGTTCTGAACCTAAGCACGGATAAAGTCAGCGGGGTCTCCTGCAGCTGGCCACTGTGAAGATGTCACACTGTAGAAGTTACGAAAATTGATCCGCCAGCCCATGCTCAATCCCCGTGCCTGCTTGATGTCAGCATATGGGGAAGAAGGGTCCTCAGACGAGCGACCAGTCGCCGAGAGATCACCAAGAGATCTTAAATGCCAGCGGCCATCTAGATTCTAGATACAGCAAGAACTGGCACCAGGCAGTCTCAAATCATGACTGCATCTCCGCATACTTCGGCATATCTCTAGTCCCCACAACTTTTGCCTGGTTGCCTTTCCGTTGCTGTGAACAGCGGGACTGCCCTGGACAGAGGCGCTGTGGTCCTGAGGCGCCACATAGATTCGCAAATGCTGGCTTTCGGGCGTAGATGCGAGGATTTGCCCCCTTGTCTCTAGTGCACAAGTCTCCATCTCCGCGAAGTACAGCACTAAAGGGGAAGCCATAGTGCTGTAGCAGAATGTCAGCGGCTCAATTCCCAGACCCCGGCAATCCCAGCGGTCCTCTCGGAGCTCACGCAAGGCCTCAAGGCACCGGTGATCGCCCTGCTCACGCGCAAGGCGCTCAGCATGGAGGGCGTTCTGGAGCTCCTGCACCTCGAAATCTTTCAAGTTTGGGCTCAGGCTCAGATGTGAAAATGTCCGACCAGAGATGCTTTCTGCACCTCTCGCGTGTTTTGCTTCTGCTGGTGCAAATACGCCAACAGACGGCAATGCAACAGTTAACCCGGTACTTGCGGTACTTGTCATTGTTTGATGCGGAACATGCGCAGCGCCCAAGTTTTTCTGAGAGGATCGAGTTCACTGGTACGGAGACTCGAAAGCACAAGGTCAGAGTTGACTTCTGACTTTGCTGCCTATGCTGGTCACCTCTCCAAAGAAAAAGAATACGGAGATTTCAGAGCATGCTTCAGCTGAGGCTGCTGCACTAAGCATCGACGAGCCGACGACCTGCAAATCGCGGACTTGTTCCACACAGGGCGCCGACTTCTTAGGGACAGCCGCAAAACGACAGCGTAGGGGCGCTCAGAGGGTTTGACATCTCCTGTGGGAGTGCAGAAGACGTGAACAGCACTCGTAGCTTAACTCCCAGCGTTCAGGCTTCGCGCTTCTGGTGGTGTTTTTGTTGACAAGCTTCTTGCGAAGCTTGCCGTGCAACTTTAAAGAATGGCCACAATCGCAAAGGCCGGTAATACCAATGTCAAGCAAACGTGGCATGTGGCTGCAAGTCTCAATCATGTACAGAGAGCTGGGCTGGAGTGGAGGCATGAATCGTGCGAGCAGAAAACCTCCTAAACCTCTTCCAGGATGAAGGCCAAGGAGTCGTGGCAGCAGTTCAGTTTGGCGCTCGGAGGACCATGGAAGGCAGGTCAAAAGCAGTCAGTGCCGAAAGCTTCGGCTCACAATAGGCACCGCTAGGCCGGCAAGGACACCGAAAAGATCTTGACAGGAACAGAGCATGTATCTCCGAAAGAGGAGGGTTCTTTTATCAGAGTCTAGTAGCATCAATTTATGTGATTCCGATCCCCAAGCATGCTGCGATAACCTCGCATCCTCGAAGCATGCATATCAACTCATCACGGCTAGGCTGCAGCCTGCTCCCGCAATCGGTCGAGGCTGGAGCGAACACCTGGCCAATGCAGGTATAAGGGCAAGGACAAGACATCCCAGCTTCCCTAAACCTTTCTAAACACTAAATTACGCCCCTTTCTCAGATCATTCTTTCTTAGTGCCACTTTTGCGCCCCGCCTTGGACATCTTCTTTCCGCGTGGCGGATTCCACCCGCAGCTCCCCTCGCAGTTGATCCTTAGCCACCCAGCCAACCTCTCACGCAAATGCCATCCGTGAGCGTTCAAGCACCGATTTGCCAAGGAAAGCACATAACAAAACTGTTACTTGTAGAGGAACAGCTTCCGCAAACTTTTGATAACCGGTTTCCGGTCGGTGCAGTGTGTAAAAGCGTGTGACTGATGCAGATCCTGCCGAGCAGCCAGGTCGGTCCAAAGTTCTTCCCGTGCCTTCACCTGCGAATGAAAGTTGAAGCGCTCAAAGACATCATGTTTTAAAGCTAGCTCCTGCCCAACTGCCTGCGTACCCAAAGCCAAGTGCAAGCTCTGCCATTGGCAAGAGCACTTCCCTCTTCCGCCCTGGTCACTGTTCGAAGCCATCAAACAGCCTCAACGCTCGCATCACCACGAGCAGGAGCCTCAGTGAGGCTCTAACGCTTCTGCCGCGCATCGACGTGGGCTAAACAAGCGATCTGCCTCTTGACCACAAAGTGGTCTGGACCTAGCCCTGAACCTAGTCTGCAAATGTCTGCAATGCGACCATTGCGACGCAATGCGACGCATGCGTATGCCATGTCTTTGGGGACATGGAGCTGTAGCATTCAGGCGCACGACAGCTTCCTCGAGTCGCTCGCGCCCAGTTCGAGCCACTTCCTGGCGCAACGCTTCTGTGCGCTGACCCTCGCCACCTTATCGAAACGAAATGCTTGGGGTCCTGGAGCTCCTCACGCAGCTCCAGCACATCTTGCCTTGTTGTCATCATCTCCTGAGGATCGGCATTCGGAAAGCAATGATGATGGAAGACCACCAGCAAATGTGCACAAATCTCAGGGGAAGTATCTTCAAACTGCCAAAACTTAGACTCAGGACGGCTACCGGCTACCAGTACTTTCCAGCAAAAGCGCTTCCTTTCGTACAGCGCCTGGCTACTGGCCCAATGGCAGGCTGTTCAGGCGAAGTGGAAGTGATCCGCCACAGATCCGCCATAGTGACGAAAGCTACTTTATGTGTGGTGTGATTGTGTAGGCGCGCGTGCTTGTGTGAAAGGTCCTTCGTGTTCTTTTCCGCAAATGTCGCCGCTGTAGCTTCCTGAGCTCAGCACGACCGAAACCAGTTTGTGTTGGGTCACCCCGCTAACATGCCTTGGACTTTCCATCAGTCTGAGCTGGCGCCGGAGGCTGAGGTGTCCCATGAAGCTATATCCGCGACTAGCGTTGCCATGTCTGCAGCCTCAACGAAAATCCATTGAACCTACGTACCCTTCTCCTGGGCCCCGCTACACCATAAGCAAAATATGGAGCCCCCAAAATAGTATAGGTAATTATGAAGGCTTCCGTAATACCCTTCTCCTGGTACCCTTGGAACTGCGACTGATCCCCTGCACGCAAGGCGTCGAGGCTGCGCTGGAGCTCCTTCTCCTCAGGCAAGAAACTTCAATCACTAATATAGGGGCCTTAATAATTAGAATAGGGTTTTGGAGCCCATTATTCTTTTTGTTATAGTTCGGAGCCCCCAAAATAGTGTTGTTGCAGACTGCCCCTTTGCTGAGCACATCGGCATGCAGAGGCCCACGGGTCCGGCGCTGTGCCAATCACGCACACGTGAGTCATTTGCAGCACCGAGCAGCATGTCGTCGGAGCGATTCTTCAACCTCAAGCAATGATGACTTTCTTTCGCTAGCTCGCAATTTCTTCCAAGAAAGCTGTCTCACCCTGAAAACGAACATTCCCTCAAAAACAGTGCCGGCCAGCGACGCTGCCCAGCTGGTCTTCCAAAGACTTCCTTGGTTTCGATGGTTTGGGGTTCACCTACAAAGGGGGAGATATGTTCTGTTTAGTCGCTGCCATGTTTCCACATCTCCGTAGCTTTGACACCATTTGCTGCTATGATTTTTGACAGTCTCTAGTGTGTGTCATGAATACGGCATCAACGCAAAAATTTCCCCCTTCCCACCCGCAGAGTCGGGCAACTGTGTCTTAGGTTCCTCACCCATCAGCTGAGTCCTGCCGTCCCAACTACGCAGCTGCGGCCCCCTCCGTCGACAGTAGTCTGCTTCCTGCGTTGAGGCTACCGGGTCGAAGCCGGAAAAGAGTGCAGGCTGGGTTTCACCGAACCTGGTCCTTTGCTCTTGTCTGAAAGCTGCTACCAGTCTGCATGGATCCTGTGTTCTATTTATTTTTGCCGGCTGCTCAACTCAGAACGGCGTCTCACTTCAGCAAAAGGGGCTTTCATGCTGATTGCATTTCTGCGGGCAACAAAGGCTAGGATGGGCCTGATAAACATCGCCAAGTCGCAGGATGGCCATGCAGGTTTCCTCGCGGTCCTGTCGCACTATAAGCCGCATCTCATGCTCGCCATGCGCCGATGTGACCCTCCGCCGAGTTGAACCGACATCCCACCAAAAGTTTCTAATGTTCAAATCATGTTTCTCCTAATTAATCCTTCCCGTGCCTTGGATTCTTTCGCGAGCAAGGTTCTGCGCTGGGTCACCTCCTGCTGGACCTGCACGTCTGAGGTTTACGGGATGCTTCAATTTCAAGGCAATCCATCATGACATTGTAACGTTGCAAAACTGGACCTGCACTAAAAGACGGCCAAGTGCGGGCCTCCTCAGAAAGCTGCTCGAGCTTTCCCTGCAAAGCCACATAATGCTTGGCTTTGGCTCGACATGGCCAGCCACTTGATGGCAAATCGTGGGGATACCACCTGAATACTACATGGGGATATTTCATAGCATAGCACTTCAGAGGTCTTATGTCCTGCAAACTTCGGCTTCATGCATGGCTGAGCTCCGATCCAGCTCATGTGGTAGAAAGCCCTGATGTGCAGATAGCGGAATCCAGCTTCAAGCACATAGTTACCATAGTTTACACGCCGCTTCAGGCCTGGAGTCGTTGTTCCAACTCTGAGATCATGGCATCCTGACCACAGAAACGTAGGTTGCTTCTGGGCGTTGGGCACGTACGCGGCAGGCGATGTGGCCCGCAACTACAAGATATTGGCTTTCGGTAGCAGGGAAGGGGCTTGACACAGATCATGAGTCTCAAACAACTGCTGTTCACACATAAACTTTGCAAACCGAAGCCGTCCTGATGTTGACGCGCCTCTGCCGAAATCCTCAGTACATTACTTTGTGTCGGATACCTTTAAACTTTACACTGTACACACGTCCTGCACATCGGTTCATTCCCCAACCCGTGCATCGCGACAGTGAAGCCCAGAGTCTCTTGGAACATGTTGATCATCTTGCTGTTCTCCTGAAGCCACGGGCACCCTCTAAGACTACGTCATTGACACGGAAGCATTAGCGTTCGATTTGATGATTTCTGGATTGCTGTCGGGATTCCTCTTGTCGGCCAGCTGCTTCGTTCTCAAGAGACCTGGCAGGTTTACGCATCTAGGTGGACTCCAACTATCATCAGCCCTTGCTGATGGATACGACGGAGACGACTCACGGCAAGCGGATAAACGTGCCGCCGCACTTCTCTAGACGGTCAAGCCGGCTCGAGAGTGCTTGCCTTAGATGGAGGCACCACTCCGGAGCATCAAGGAATCCTCCAATCAACCGAATTGTACACAACAGCAGCTTCGCGAGTCGAGCATCATCTCCAAAGCTGTTGGAGCTGCATTCGATGGCTCGGACGGCCTCCCAGCTTGAGGCGTCAACGACAAATCGAGCTCCAGAGTCTGAATAAATGTCACTGCACTGCTGACAGGCCGCCTCTCCGACAGCTGTCGACGCACCTGACAGGAACTTGGCGGCCGTATCACAGGCTAGGCCTAGGTCGGAACTTCTACACACTCTTCGCACCTTCGCATTCTTTGTCAAAAGTCGAACGGTGATTTACTGTCGTCCTGTGGAACCCTGGAACCTAGCGCCGCACGTAGCTTTAAGCTTTGCCTCGGCCCTCACCAGGTTCTCTGTCAGGGACTCCGGACCAGCACGAAGCTCCTCGGGCTCGACGTGGTTTGGGCTTGGAGGCAATGTGCCTCTACCTCTCCACTTGCGAACCGACACGGGGCCCCTCCTCCAGATTGCGGCTTTTTAAACACACGCTTTCCGCGGAATTGCAGCTATCGGGTGGGCGGCTGCGCATGTACAGGATGTGCAGCTCCTGCTTCCTAGAACTGCTCTGACCTTCAGGTGTCATGATGTAGTCCAGGAATTCTCCGCTTCTAAATTCCCAAACCCTCGGCCCCAGGAGCCCTGAAAGCCGCGGGGCAGCTGCAGGCTGTACTGCTCCACCCACGCGCAACTGGTCCACCAACCTGGCTGCCACTACGACGCGGCTGACGACGATGTGTCAGAGGCTGACAAGACAAACCTAACCAGGAGAAGCTACCTGCAGAAGTGCAAAAAAACAGCAGCAGTTGTCATCGCGGTAATTGCAGATAAAGCATATGATCACAACACTCGTGGTGGCAGCAGGAGCCACCGCAGCTGGAGGAGCTGCAGGGCTGCTACGATGACTACGACGACGACGATGGCGCCTGCTGCAACCGCTCTGGTACCACTACTACGACGACGACGATAACGATGACGAAAACAACTACGAGTGCTACGACGACTACTACTACCACTGCTGCTGCTGCTACTACTGCTACAACTGCTACCACTGCTACTACTACTACTGCTACTCCTCCTACTACTACTACTACTACTACTACCACTACTACTACGACTACCACTACCACTACTACTACTACTACTACTACTACTACTACTACTACTACTACAACTACTACTACAACTACTACTACAACTACTACTACTACTACTACTACTACTACTACTACTACTACTACTACTGCTACTACTAGTGCTACTAGTGCTAGGCACCCCCCCCCCTACCAACTACACTTGCTCTCAACCATGTTAAGACAACATCCATTTTACTCGGTATTTACGGCACTTTCGTCATGTGCGATCATCCTAAGAGGCCTAAAAATCGACTTGTCGAGTTGCAAACTCGGGCTCTTGATTTTGGACTTGCTTCTGGGGTGGGTGGGGGTGTGGGGGGGGGGGATGATGACGACAGTGTTACGCGAACACACCCAGCAGTATCACCACAAGAGCCGTTTAACTCGGTATTTACGGTACTTTCGTGATGTCAGATTTTGTTAGATATTCTGAGCCCCTACTTCTCGACTGTGCGTATTAAACTTTGCTGTTTGGAACTGTTTGCAAAAAAACTCGAAATTGGGTGGGGGGAAAGCGTTTTCGGGGATGATCACGACACTGTTTTGCGGACACCCTGAACAATATTTCCACACTCAAGCGCGCACACACCACACACACCACTTCAAAAACAGACCCTCCTACGCAGAGGTTGGGCGGTAGGGGTGTTGGCGAGCCCCTCCCACGTACAGCTGGCATCTTTGTTTTTGATGTTTAGAAGATGTTGCGCTTCAGGTTTTAGAAATGTTAAACCCTTCTTGGCAGCACCTGGGTTTTGCACGGTATTTACAGCGTTTTCGTACTATCCGACCACCTGGGGTTTATCAGTTTCTTCCCCGTCGAGCTTGCAACTCCAGCTGCTGTCGCAGTTTTGGGGCCTGAGCCCCTGCAACTTCACCGGCTGTGACAGTTAAGGAAACTGAGCCTCTGCAACTTCTGCAGCTGTCACAGATAAGGAGCCTGAGCCCGTGCATCTTCTGCAACTATCGCAGTTAAGGCTCCTAGCAGCTACCGTTGCCCAGCCCGGATGGAACAAGCGTAGTTGGGAGGCGGGGGGGTGGCTAGTGCTACTACTGCCACAACTACTACCACCACTACCCCGACCACTACCGCTACCACTACCACTGCTACTGTTATTGCTCCAGGGACGGATAAGGCTACAAGACGATATCCTGCCTGGACAAGTCCGAGCTTGCACTTCCGATCTCCTTTTTCTGGAGCTCCATCTCTTGGCGCAGTGTTTCTCCTTACCGGGAAACACGCTTTCTGTCTTGGCTCGCACGGCCACGGCACGCTACCAGAAATTACCACAACACTTTACAGCCCCTAAGTAATGCGCAGAACTTTCCTCCAAGGGCGGGTTGGTCCTGACTGATGAGTTGAAATTTCCTTACTCAAACTGTGCACTGGTTGTGTTCGGCGTTCTCCTGCAAAGTGAAGTGCCTGTGTGTTCCGAGCCGCGTTGCTCGCAGGGATGCTTGCGAACTTCCTAGAGAATGCAAGGAGGCCTGCAGCAAATGACTGCGACCAGACATGACCACCGCACAAACCACCATCCTGATGGCAACATGCAACAGATAGGCCAGGATGCTCAAGTGGCTAAATTCGCTGAGGACCTGCTGGGCCTGCTGCGATGCTGCACCTGTCCATGCCCCTAACCCAGCCTCAATGTAAGGCCGATGACCGTATGACATTGCCACAACACAAGCCGGTAGCAGTAGCATGCAACAGCGAGTTGTACGACATATCATGCAGAACTGCATCACAGCAGCAAGATGAAGACTATGCCGCAGAGCGAGTGGTGATGACGGAGTCTACACGATCATTGTTCTGACTTGTGATGACGGCGGTTGTGGCAGTGAGGACCGGGTGTGCTACGTTACAGCACGACATCGTGTCACATGCTACGGCGTGGCAGCGTATGGTTTGTGGGTCATCAGACTCGGTCCACACGGCCAATTGCTTTGCACGCGCTATGCGAACTTGTAGCGAAGCCCGAGAAACACTACAAGCCTATGCCCACCTCAACCATAAGACTGAAGCCCCCAAATCCCACAGCTGCACCGCATTCCAAACGCATCTCTCGCTGAAGTGCACCAAGTCGAGCCTGGCCAGTTTGTGATGAGTCGCCAGTTCTGTTCAGGATCCCTCCAGTGAAGCGATGCTGGTAAATGTCAACCGTTATGTAAAGACCATCCACGAAGTTTCGTTGCCAAGGGTTGGTGTATGCCAGGAGAACAGTCTGGCCTTAGTCCTCTGCAGCTACGACTTAGACGTTTCATCCCTCAAAAAGCTTTATGCTGAAAGCTTAACTCTCACCGCCATGAAATATGCCCCTGGCAGAAAGGCCATGGGCAGGAAACAACTCGCAGAATCATTAGTGAGCCCATAGGGCTCCACAGGAGTGCCCATTACTGGCATGATTTTGTACTATACATCCGATATGAACTAAAGCCATGGCATAGCGACGAGGCTAGCGACCACGACGACGACTACTGCCGATACTGCCACTGCCACTGCCACGGCTGTTATTGCTGCTGCTGCTGCTACTACTACTACAGTACTACTACTCCTTCTACTGCTACTGCTACTGCTACGGCTACGGCTACCGCCATCACCGCCGCCACCTACTACTACTACTGCTACTACTACTACTACTACTACTACTACTACTACTACTACTACTACTACTACTACTACTAATTACTACTACTACTACTACTACTACTACTACTACTACTACTACTACTACTACTACTACTACTACTCCTGCTGCTGCTGCTACTACTACTACTACTACTACTACTACTACTACTACTACTACTACTAGTGCTACTACGACTACTACTACTGCTACTACTACTGCTACTACTGCAACTACTGCTACTGCTGCCACCGACGACGGCTACTGTAGATGATGTCGGCCTCAGGCGAAACCCCAACAATCGCCAGCCTCGAGATGGCTTTCCACAGCTCGGCGTAGAGACTGCGGTCCAGCAGATGAGGATACAGAAAGAAAGAGGATTGGACAAGCTAAGTTTTGAATCCTTGCTTGGGGCTCCCTCTCTTCCTCCCTCTCTCCCAGTGCTGGTCCTTCCCTCTCTCTTCTTCTTCCTCTCTTTCTTTCGCCAGGGCTATGGCGAAGGGGACGTTCCCCTACTTCTTCCTCTCTCTCTCTCTCTCTCTCTCTCTCTCTCTCTTGCTTGCTTGCTTGCTTGCTTGCTTGCGAAGGGGTTTGGGTGCGCGCACCCCGGCCCGAAGGCCAACCCCCCACGGCTCGCAACAGTCCAAGGTCTGACAGGCCCCTTCCGGGGGTGAGAGACTGGCTCGTTCCCCCACCTGTGCTTGTATACCCCGCCCCCGAAAACACCCCTTGCTAAGACCATTCCTATTGGGAACCTGTACGCACCAGGTGGGTCTTCCGAGGTCTCTCCAGAGACAGCTGCGCGAAAGCGGCTTGTTGCCGGGACGTTTTTTTGAAACATACCCCATACAGCGCATCGCATAACTAGGCTCGCATCACTCGTCTCTTCTTTCGCTGCCTCGGTGAGCTGCACTCCCCGGGGCCTTCGCAGTGGGTTCTGTACGCCCACGCGGCAACCTAGCTGTGTTACTTAACCCTACCTCACCTGCCTGCCCATCTGATCCCGAACACTCTCTCTGTCTCTTTCTCTCTGGGCTTTTCAACGCTGGGTTCAGTATGAGGGATGTTTGGTTGGCCCGCATTTCAGCACCTCGCTCGAAAGATCGGAACATTCAGGGTAGCTGCCTGAATCTTTCTGTGGGGGGGAGGGAGTGGTCTAGGCGCGCAGCAGGCTCAATGGGATCGGTTGCAATCTTTCGCAAGTTCAAATCTCAGCGCAGAAACAATCAGCTACCAAATGCTCTCCAAGCGGCTCCCTCTTCTTTGACGATTCCATGCCACTTCTGCTCCAGCTTTGCATCTGCCTCCTCGCGTTGTCGTGCAGCCTGCCAGGAAGACGGCAGATGTAGCTCGGGCAGCACGGGTGATTTTGGCAGCGCTGCTACCTGTGGCAGGGGAACGAGCCATAGCGCCAGGCGATCGGGCTAGAAATGAGGATGCGTCCGGAAAAGCCGCGCAGAACCGGCTTTCTCCCTGAAACTGCCCACAGTCAGGACCTCCTCCCGCTTCTTTTTCTCTTCCTGCAGGGCAGCTCTCGTGGCATCTGCTCATATCTGCTCTGTAAGCCACTTTCTGAACAAACTGAAAAGCCCAGCGTCGAACACGTGACAGTGACTAACCGAAGCTTCCACAGATGAAGACTGAATCAAACCCAGCACTAAATCGGGAACCACTGAATACACGAGGAAACCGCACCGACTCTCTACGAATGACCCGGGACCCTGCACCCTCAGCTGCGATGGATCCAAAACTCCCAATGCAAAAGTCTCCTCAGGGCCCGACACCCACCAAGCATCTATACCCGGTATACCCCTGTTCTCATTCGAGGTCCCGCATCCAGCAGCTTCCAGCACATCCGGAAAGTCTGAGCCACAAGTTTGGTAATCACTGGATAACTCGGTCCAAGCCCTGGGTTTCGATTGGCTCACCACAGCATCAGGCGCCCGACATGGTAGCTTCAGAAAAGTAGGGAACCCTAATATAGTAGCCTAAACAGTAGGATCCTTACCATAAGGACCCAAAATGCGGTACCCCGAATTTTCGAACCCCCAACCCTCATGGAGCCCTTTAAAGGAACCCTTATGCTACGCTTATAGTAACCCTTTAAGGAATAACATTCGGAAACCCCCTGACATTCGCGAAAAGCGCTCCTGGAGGATCGCCACTGCGGCATCCAGACGTGCAGCCAGCTGCCGTTGGCTCTCGCTCTCCAGCCTCCCAAGAGCCCAAGAATAACGGAGACCAAGAGCCCAAGAATAACATTGTCAGAGTAACATATCATACCATGTGTATGTATGTATGTATATATATATAGAGAGAGAGAGAAAGAGAGAGTATGAGAGACAGAGAAAGAGAGTGTATATGTAGATATATATATATATATACATACATATATATCTACACACATATAACAGTGGCAATGGCGAGTTTCGCCAGAATGCTCTCGGGCCTTGGGCAACAGCCCCTGAGCACAAAAAAAACAACACATCTTCCGCCAGAGAAACGACGCGACCGTCGGCCCAAGAAACACTTCGACTAGCATGCAGACAAAACTCCAATGGTACAAAATGCTGGGCGCAGGAAAGCTGGAGACTACGACTGCGAGACCATGGGCTGGACATCCATGGTGTCCAGGCCTGATCTCCTGACGCAGCTGGCGGAGCTCCTGCCATGGATACACCCAGGCCCAAGTCCAAACTCACGACTCAGGAAGGCTCGGCACCCGCCTTGTCTCCGCCAGTGAGCGTGGCACCGCTGGTACTGGTAGACGGCCTAGCAAACGGACACTGGAAGCCTTTCACGCGATCTAGAGGTGTGAAGCGTACACTTACTTCGTCAACGAACTCTGCGGTGTTGAGTTCCATCAACGAACGAGGCCCTGGAGCATGTGCATGCCATTTTTGCTTTTGGGAAGTGATGGAGTGAAACTCCGAGCACACTTCGCGATGCTTCAAGCCAGTTCATGCATGCCGTGCAACATTTTCAACGCCCTGACAAAGTTGCCCTGCCACCCATCATAACCAAAATTCCCATGTCCGCCTCTCTGCGAGGAGCGTCTTCTTGAGAGTGTCAATGACCTCAGATTGCCTATGCATCGGTAGAGCCGCCCGACCCAACCGTGCATTCCGGCTCAAGCACACTCCACCCAGTCACAACCCTCCGTCCTCCCGACCTCTTCTCGGCTTGGATGTGGCGATTCCACTTACTTGCCGGGTCTCTGATCAATAACTCCTGTGGCGTCACCAGTGGTCACTATATAAGCGAGGGCAGTGTACAAGCAAGGCCCAACTACGTGCAGCGAGCAACCCAGCTCTCGGCCATCGAGCTTGTCTCACTTGTGCTGGCCTGGCACTCACATTTCCCTACGTGTGGTGACCTACTGCATTCAGGCAGCATGACGAAACCTGCAAGCAGTGCGAAAGCATCATGACATTCGAGGTGGGGTCAGGTGAGGTGGTGGGGCTGTGGACTGCACCCGGCTGAAGGCAAGAAAGCAGAAGCTTGAAACGGTATTTCCTTCGCAGGCCTGAACACCGAAAAGGCCCAACAGTACACTCCACAAACTTAGCACACGCACAGGCCTGGCCACTGGGACCCACTTGGGGCACCGCTGTTGTACCGCCTCAGCTGGAGATGGCCAATCTGTGAAATAGCATGCATGCATGCACGCAAGCATGCACACATATACCTCCCACCTACACATATACCTCCTACTTACATACGTGCTTGAGTACCTTTTAGAACAGGATAACAGAAGCTAGGTTGGCACGTGGATATTCATTCTTGTATAGAGGTATTCTGCTGAGTGGGAGGTGGCGGAGGAGGAGTCCCACTCTCTGCAGAGATACCGCTGCATGGATCTCAGATACCTGACCATCCTCGAGGTCTGTGTGGGAGCAGCCCCTGCCAAAGCTTCGCAGCTGATGTGGGTATACAGAAACTCTGCCGAAGTGTAGCCAGCGGACCGCTTGGAACAATGAAGTCCAGCTGCAGATGTTGTTTCGCACATGCAACGTTATGGATCTGATTCGCTGCTTTCTTGCACTCGTTGCCGAGCTGCTGCTTGCGCTGAGAGGCTTCGCCTCGAGCATCGACTCGCGAAGGACCTGTCAGGTGTTAGGTTTTCGCCCGCCGTTATATCGGTACTATAACATTATAAAAATACTACAATACTATAATACTACAATACTTTTTTGTCACTCGCACTCGGCAAGGCAGGCGAATACAATAATGCTATAACACTACTATACTGTTATATTATTACTATACTACTACTATAGTATTAAATTGTATTACTATTATACGATCATACTGTTATACTGTTATACTGTTATGCTATTATGCTATTATGCTGTTATTATAATTATACTGTTATACTAGTATATGATTATACTACTGTACTGTTATACTACTATACTTACTACAATACTTCTCAGCCGTGCGGCAAGCCTCAAGGACACATCCTCCTGCTCCTACCCCCGCGGATACGGCTGCTGCTACTGCAGCAGCAACTACGGGCAGCCGAAGCAGCTGCTGCAATAAGCAGCACGAGCAGGAGCAGGAGGAGGAGCAGTCGAGGTAGTAGCAAAAACGGTAGAAGCAGTGGTTAGAGTCGTCGTCGTCGGCGTCGTAGTCGTAGTCGTAGTAGTCGTAGTAGCAGTGGTAGTAGGTAGTAGTAATAGTAGTAGTAGTAGTAGTAGCAGTAGTAGCAGCAGTAGTAGCAGTAGCAGCAACAGCGGCAGTAGTTGGCCCACGTGGTGGTGGTGGTGGTGCTGCTGGTGTAGTAGTCGTCGTCGTAGCAGCAGCAGCAGGAGGAGCAAGAGCAGCAGCAGTAGGAGTAAGACTAGGGGTAGGGGTAGGAGCAAGAGCAGGAGTTGGAGTAGTGGCGGAGGTAGTAGTAGTCGTCGTTGTGGTGGTGGTGGTGGTGGTGGTGGTGGTGGTGGTGGTAAGAGTAATCGGTGGAGAAGTAGCAGCATATGCACGAACCCTTGAATTTCGTTGCACATGCTTTCTGGGGCTTGGTTCCGTTTCGAAAGGCAGGCCAGTAAGCTGCCTTTCAACTATCTGCACATGTGGGTGGGTCGGGGTAGAAGCAGGTAGGCGACAGAAACCGGCCTCCTCTTGCAGAGTCTCGGCCACTGTCCTGTAACTTGCAGCACGGCTTTGATCCTTGGGAGAGCCTGAGCCTTGAGCCTGTACTTTATATGCCGTTGGCAAACGGATGGTCCTCATCTCCTCCATCTTGTTGGTAAAACTTGACAAACCTTGCCGCAGGAGCCTGGGCACAAGCCAAGGTCCCGAACGACGAGGTCCGGTCCAGCTACACATCCTCAATGAATAATGTTGAACATGCGACATCAGCAGCCTGACCTGGACGTCTCACGGCTTCCCGTTTGTGCTGCCACGTTGCTGGAGCCGTTCCTGATTCGCCCCTCCCGTCGACGATTCGCGCGAGGTCTGGTTGGCGGCGAAAAACAAATGTCCACGCGTGATCACTCTTTCGAAGACTGTCGGAACTACCAAGTTGCGTGTAAAACGATCGCTGCGGAGACCTCATTACTAACCCGAACACATGTGCTGCACTACCGAACTTCCGAATCGAAAGCCCCCGATCCCCGGATTTGCGCATGTCTGAACACGAGAGCGTGCAAACGGCCTGCACTCCACTGGGCGTGCCTCGATCAAAGGTCGGACGCCGGGAAGACACTGGAAACACTGACCCTTAATTGCATGTAGCTGAACCGTACCAGGAAGGCATGATGTTGGAGAGTCTGGTAAGTTTGGTCAAAGAACGTTCACCAGGTGCCCGCACCAGTCGCTGCACTTATGTCTTGGGGCCACCATGCCGGTGGTTTCCAACAGATACGTTTTGCACATCGCTCAACGTACTGCGCAGTCAATCATGCCCAGCTCGGCAAAACGGACCGCTTCAAGTCAAGGAGAAACAACTGGAGAAATTTTGAAGCGATTTCTTCTGCCTGCAGTGGTGGAGCGGCGAGCCGGGTTGTCCACCCGAGCCTCGGCAGTGCCAAGTATTGCAGAACACGGCTTGTAGCCGTCGCGTCCGAACTGGAGGAAACTACACAGCATAACCATAGCAGATCCAACACCTCAAAACGCGTTAGGAGGGCTGAGCATAGGCCTAGGCTCCAGACTGCTGCTGGCACACTAAGGCCGGCAAACCAGCACATAGAGGGCCACATGATGCTGAACATGAACAGTGGGATTGATGTCTTATGCGCATGTCTTCCGGGTAAGACTGACCTCGACTCAGTCTCGGACCGCGTTGCAGGGCATGGCGGGACCTGAAACAAGACCCCCGTTGTTCCTGTTCTCGAAGTGTTGCTGTACGGGTGCATCGCACTCGTACTCGTGTTTCGCATAGGTTGGTTTACGGCGCATTGCTGCATAGCACACACGCCGAACCGAACCTGAAACGAAGGAAAACATGAATTAGCCTGGAAAGATAACCTGTGCCAGATCATGCAGTGATGCACACACTTGCTGCGAAGTTTTGTCGAAAGCTTGCTATAGGAAGCTCTGAATGCACAGTGCTGGTAAAGAACCACCGGCCTGAATGCACACGACTGGCGGCGTTGCGTGACTGCCGCTGCGAGGGAACCACAGTGGAAGACCTGAGCACTCGACCAAAGCGCGCAGTCGTTCGCTCTTAATGAAACTGGCACTAGCTCGACTTTAGTCTCACACGCGTTGAACCCAATAACTCTTCATCCACCATCCACCTCTGTAACGTGGAGGCTCCAGGGCGCTAGGTGGTGCAGACATGTGCAGCCATCTGACTGGAGCGGCTGCAAGTTGCTTCAAACCAATGCCCCCTTCCCACACTCCTGCTCCCTCTCTCTCTCTCTCTCTCTCTCTCTCTCTCACTGCCTCCCTGTCTCTCTCGGCAACGCCCTGTCTTCGCGTCACAGACCGGCGCCAAGGAGCCTCCTTCTCTCAAAACGTTCGTGAGGGAAAGGGCTTTGGGACTCTGTGGAGTGGTGTTGATTCCGGCACAACTTCGAGAGTACGTCTGTCAGGGACCCACTCCGACCCTGTACTTCATGCTCCATCTCTCTCTCTCTCTCTCTCGCTCTCTTTGCTTTGCTCGGGGATTCGACTGAGGGCAGTCCCCTCAGCCCGCGGGTTGCGCAACCCGTCCAAGATGTAGTGGGTCGGGGGGGCTCTTTTTTTTTTAAAGTGCAACGGCCTTTTCTGTTGTGCAGCGTCGGCCTGCCTCATTGAGGCCTACACAAAGATCACATCCTCCAAGACAGACTTCCGTCCCAGAGGAACATTATCAAAAAGAACTCTCAACAGCCCAAGGCAACGCTCACCGCCTACATTGCAGCTACTGTTGATGGCTGATCAGACCACGTGGCATACAGCTACACAAAGTGGTTGATCTGACACTTCAGCCTCTGAGAGGATTACGACCCGTCATTCTCAGTACTTTTCGTCATATCGCTCAGAACAGGGTTTGGCTCAGAGGTGCACGTCCCGGCGTTTGTCTGCTCAGCACCCTCAGACACCGAGATCACTTGCCCTCCCAGCTGTAGTGACTGTGTAGCCATTGGCGACGAGCTATCTCCACTACCCGCGGTAGGAGCCGACAAGGAAACGTCCCCACCAGAGACACTCACGAGTTCATGACTCTCCACATGAGCTGCTACATCTGCATCAGGTTGAGCACGAGGTACAGGTAGGGCAGAACGTTCATGTAGGGCAGAACCATCCCCGTCTCGAACAGCAGCATGAGCCGTTGGGGCAGACCCATCATCACGGGATACAGGTGCGACGGAGTGTTCACGTAGAGAAGAACCATCCCCATCTTGAACAGCAGCAGGTACAGTGGGAGCAGCTGCCAGTCCCAGGTCTGGCCCCTCAGTTGACGTGGTACTTCCCACAGGTTCAGGTCCGCCAGAAGGAGCTCCAAGTGGTAGTCCAGCAGGTGCTTCAGGATGTAGTCCAAGAGGGGCTGCAGGTCGTAGTCCAGGTTCGCGCACCACTGCAGGGACTTCAGGTCGCGGAGGTGAACGACTACGCGAGCGCGAGCGGCTTCCGCGGGGGGCATCACGTGTGCCCCTGGACCATCCCACGCCAGCTTCGGGTGCCGGGCCAAAGGGACTAAGCGATCCCGGTGGACACCCCGTAAGTTCCCGCAAGCTTGCCTCGATCTCCCTGTCAAAGGTCTGGACCACCAAGTGGCGGTATTCCGCCATCCACGCGACGACCCTTGAGCGCAACGTCCCAAATGGCGGGATGCGTTGACACGGGAAGCTGCACATGACCTCACTTGGCTGCACCCTTGCCTGCAGGATCTGGATCACCCCACGTACTACTGTAGACGCCTCCCCAGTGGCATGTAGAAGTTGTTGAACACCCCATCGATATTCAGCACCAACATCACGTTGTTCTTGGAGTTCAAGGCCTCGGAGAAGTTCACGTAGTCGAGCACGTAGTTCATCACACACCCCAAGCTCACCAAGTTCAAGTTCTTCACGGGGCGACAGCTGCATCAATGCATTTTCATCTTCCTCATCTCCTGACTCCTCATCCTGACGTTCATTCTGTGCACCCCCTGCCGGTCGTTCATGGCTGCCACGAGCATCACCTGCAGCATCACTACCCCCAGCCGGACGTTGAGTGCCAGGCAGTTGTGACACCCCACGTTGGTCCCTGGCTCGGGCAATCATTGCTCTCGCCCGTGCCCTCGCGGTGTCCAACGCGATCGCTGCCGTGTTGGTATTGCCAGCGATCATCATCCCAGGCGGCGGCAGGTACGGCGGGTCTCCAACATCCTTTGCCTCCAGCCACACATCCTGCATGAGCCGCTGTACTATACGCAAGTGGAACGACCCTAGGATCTTCTGGAAGCCAGCGAAGCCCACACAAAGACGACCTCTCATCCCAACATCATCAGGTCGGGCTTCGTTCGCCCCACCCACACGACGGAAGAGGACATCATGCACCAGGTCCAGGGTAGTTTCCGACAGGATGAGAGAGTGGGCCCACTGACCAAGTGCCCAAGCCACTGCTTCCACCCCAGCTCGATCGCGTATGTCCTCCAAGTAGAGCAGGAACTCCCGGAGGTCATCGACGACACCCTCGTCCCACCCCAGTTCAAGAAGTTCATCCCTTTCATCTGCAGTCAACTGGAAGGGAACATCTGGCTCAGCTGGATCGTCTTGTGGCTCAGTTTCACCAGGTTCGCTTGGAGGTGTATCCGCCCCACCAGGGGATCCAGTGTTTGACCCAGTTGCACGAGTCTGCATCATGACCGTCTCCTCAGTGGCAGAGTCTTCCTCAGTTGACAAGGTCGTTGGCGAGGGTGAAGAAACCGTAGAGGACGTAGACCTGGTAGTGCTCGACCCCAAAGAGGACGTAGACGAGGTAGTGCTCAGCCCCAAGGAGGTTGTTGTCGATGTAGAGGATTCACAGGCATGATGCACCCCAGACGACAGGGCCTCCACAAAATCAGGCAGTCCAGGTCCCGACCAGTCCAGGGTAGGCACCTCCTCGTCCACATTTCCAGCTGCATCCCGACAACGACGCCTGGCCATCTCCACGGACCAAGCATTCCATTCAGCAGCGGTCCATTGCGGCGACGACCACGTCCCATCAGCAGACCGGGAGTGTACTTGGTGCGTCGTGTCAGAAGAGGAGCTAGCACGGCTCTCATCCCGCGTACTTTCTACGTCCCGTCGGGCTGGGAAGGGGGCATCAGCTCGCTGCAGTAGTTGCCGAAAGTGCTCACGTAGTTGAGGGTCCGAAGTCATTCCATCGCGATGTAGTTCACGTGCTCTCCTAAAGGCGGCCGGCCGAAACGTCCCATCAAACCATTGAGCTTGTCGATCTTCACGACGTTGCGTTCGTGTTTCACCTCCACCTCCACGTTGCCAGCGTTCTTCCCAGTCGTTCCTCTGTCGGTCAAACCAATAGCCACCACGGTAGAACCCTGGAGCACGGCGGTCAGGAGGTAGAAGAGGAGCACCACGTCCCCAGCCAGGGACCCAAAGGTACGAACCATCATCATCACCGGTAGGGCGTCCAGTTTCCCTTCCACGACGATCATCCCACGGCGGGGATCTCTCAGGTGTAGGCCGGCTTCGCGTCTGCTCACCCCATTGCCAGTTAGTGGACGGAACTTGTTCACGACGGCCATCCCATGGTGGATCTCCTCTGTCTCGGCGTGCATCTTGGGCAGGACGAAGATCAACGGGAGGACGATGTTCATGTCGTTGAGAATGTGCTGGTTCATCGCGTCCCGATGGTTGACGGTACGACGAACCACGGCCAGGTCGAGATTGGACACCATCCCACGAATGCCCAGACTGAGTCACACCAGGGTCATCCCAGCCACTTCGTTGGGTAACGACAGGTGGTCGATCATCCCAAGTACTCGAAGTTGTCGGCCACTCTCCCCAGGTAGACCATGACCATGTCGGTGACCACTGTCCCAGTCCGAGGTTATGGCCATGTGATGTGGCACCCCAGTTGTCATTCCACTGGTGGTAGGGGTCCGCGACCGGCTCAGGATGTGGTTCAAACCAGTCGCCAGCATCGCTCCATTCTTCATGTTGGGCTTCGTCAGGATCGTCATGTCGACGGTGAGCAGCACGTTGAGGAGGAGGCCGCCCCAGGACAACTTGACCAAGGAGTCCGCCGAGAAGGCCGGCGAGCAGCGGCAGAGCAAGGCGCTGGGCCATGTTGAAGCGAATTGAGAGTTCACACAAAAAGAAACTTCAGGTAACACGTTCCTCGAGTCAACGTCACGTCCCTCATTCCATCTCAAATAAGTACATGTAGTCGGACAACAAAGCATATCATGTAGAGTACTCGCAGAGCTTGTGAACCCGGGCTACGGCGCGGCATTCTCAGTCACGAAAGGCTTCACGCATGCAGCTTCACACCCCGGGCAACAGAACTACATGGACTCGGTGCGACCAGGCAAAGCAGGTTGACGACCACGTGTCCAACTGACATCACGGTGGGCAAGCCAGAGGGGCAGCCAGTTTTTCCATCCCTCACGGTTGGTCGTAGCACGTTTCCAGTTCAGGCCAAGGGCATCAGCAACATCCCGCTCGGCGTTGTTGGCATAAAATCTTGCAGGGTGTCTGACACCTGAGTAGAGTGCCTGCTCATGGCGCCACCACTTCAAGCAACGCCAACCCAGCATCAAGGCAGGGAGACACTCATCGGTCCCTTCACGGCGACGGCACCAATGACCAAACAAGGCAAACTGCAGTCTCAGTACTTTGGTGCTCCACCTTTCAATCCCTTGGGCCTGCATCCAGGCACGAATGGTTCTCAAACTGCGCTTATTGTATTCGACCCATCCTTCATTGGTGCCTCGTCTGACACCAAAGGCCAGGCGGTACAGCCTCAGCTGTATCGAGTTGATCATCAACAAGTCGTCGGTGGCCCAGTGTAACGCCCCAGCCGTCCAGGACCAAGTACCCTCCACTAGAGAGCGACACATTTTGACCTTCGCACCCCAACTGCCATGGCCACAGAGGATTTCCTTGTTGGCATGGAAGGCATCCCAAATGCGTCCCATCATTTCCCGACTCTGCTGACTACATCCAGCATCGAGGTCAAAGTCAACCCCAAGAACACGCATGGAGCTGCCGGGAGCACAAACCTCGACTCGACGTCCATCAACTTGGAGATGCCTTCTGCCCTTGTAGTGCTTGTTGGCGATTACGCAGGTTTTCTCAGGTGAAAGTGACAACCCCAGTTTGGCGAGCATGGTAGAGATGCTAGCGATGTTCTTCTCGATCTTCGAGACTTCATTGCTCCAGAGGAAGACGTCGTCCTGAAAGCATCCCACATCAGCAGGAACATCGCTCAGTTTTCCACCTGGTGGTGTCCACGCCCCACCAAGTCGAAGGCACTGTAGCTCGTGAGCAACAATGAGGCCGAACAACTCAGCTGACTCAGGACTGCCCTGACGTATGCCACGATTGGCGTTGACAGTCACATTTTGACCTCCCGGCGCAGTGCCTATCATGACGTTCTCGGCCAACAGCATGAGCAGGAAGCGCAGCTCAAGGAGCGTCTCATCATTGGCTAGCCTTTCTTGCAAGAACGAAGCGACACACCCCCGATCAATGAAATCAAAGGCTCCACGGACGTCTAGCTTGGCTGCGACGACCCCAACACGCCACTCACGCGTGACGTCCCGCAGTCTAGTGAACGTCCCGATGAGGTCGGCCGACTGGCGTCCCTTGCCCGAGGCAGAGCAGCAGGACGGCGCCCGGAGTTCACCAAAAGTTCTGTTCATCACAATGCGAGACATCATCTTCATGGCCGCACTTCCCATGGCAATAGGACGTAGGTCACCAGGTTGCGTTGGATGGAGGCATTTGGGCAGTAAAGCGAGCAGAGACACACCCCAGTCATTAGGGATCGCCCCATCGCACAGGACGGAAGTACACATATAGCACAAGGCATTGGGTTGTTCGAGAGCAAGACGCCGAAGAAGGTCAACCGAAACCTTGTCATACCCAACAGCAGAGCGAGCCCTCATCCCAGTGAGAGCACAAAGGATTTCAACTTCCTCAACGGGGCGAAGGATCGCAGCAGACGTGTCCAACTGAGCAATTCTGTGTTGAAGATCAACGTCCCAATTCCTAGCAACGTCCCAAAGCTTCTGCCCAAGGTGGTTCTGGACCTCATTCGCAACTTCACCGCTGGTTTTGTTCGTGAGGAGCTCACCCCACCAACTGGTTTTGCGCCGTGTTGCTTTGTAGGCCCGGTAAGCGTCCCAGTCGCCGTACAGGATGTTGGTTATGCGTTGTTGCTGCCATTTACGGCGGCGCTTTCTCCGTTCTTTGTGGATGGTCTTCCAGGCAGATTTACGTTCTCCACCTTCGGCGGCTTTGGCGTCGGCGATGAGCTGGAGGATCTCCTCATCATCCCTATAACAGCATTTTGTGCGTGCTCGACACCTTGATGTTGCGAGAATGGCAACATCAGCCCAATCGTTCACAAGCGGCAACGGTTCCTCCCCAACCACCCACCGAGCACGGCTGTCGTACCATTGACACGGCTTACAACGCTGGATTTCCACATGTACTTCCAACAAAGCATGGTCAGTGTTGATCTCCAGTCTCATCTCGGGCCGAAGTGTAACTGCACTCACCCCTACACGGCGTGAGAAAAGGGCATCGATATGGCGACCTTCACGTCGTTCATCCCGAGGATAATGCGTGGGTTTGCGGCGATCTTCCAGACGCGGAGGGATAGCCCGAAGATGGAGATGAGCCATGGCCTCCAAAGTTTTGTCGACTTTCGCCCCAGCCCGGATGTTTGCATCCCCAGAATCCTCTGCATTCCAACTCACGACTTCATTGACATCCACCCCAGCAAGGACAGGAAGATCAGGATGCCACTTTCTCAACATCCGCTTGAACTCAACGACCTCCTTGTGGTAGACGGCGACACTCACCCCAGTGGGGCAATGCAAGGAGCAAAGGATCAGCCGCTTGTGGTTTTTGAGGCGAACAACCCAGGCAGCTCCTCGTTCACAGCACGTCTTGTCCGTTACAGAGTCAAACAACTCCCGGGCCACCCCTATGCCAACACCTCGCCATTGATTACGACCTTGGTGACTGAACCAGAAAAAGTTGTCCGTGGTTTTCTCATCCCATCCAACTTCACCACGAGAGACTTCCTGAACTAAAAGAACATCGAAGGAGCCAGCAACCACGTCGATCTTCGACACATCCTGGCCAGCAACATTCCACGACCCAAGCTTCCTCAAGACCCGCGTTTGTGGTCGAGTATCAGGACGTAGAGCAGCACCCCGAAGACCATCATCGTTTGACGAATGATCGAACTTGAGGCTATCGGTGAAACCATCCCGGCCATCGGGTCACAGCTCACGCTCGAATGCTGACAGGGCAACGTCAAAGGCCACCCCGGTCGCCCTGGAGATCGCGGTGAGGTCGATCCACCCCGAGGAGAGCGCCTTGACCTCCTCGCCCTTGGGCATGCGGTGTGTGGCCGACCCAAGTTTCCATTCACCGACCCAGACAGTGCCTGATCCCCAGTCGACCTCGTAGGCGCTTTCACACTTGGCTTGGATGTTGTGAGCTTCACTGTTGTGCGCGGCATCAGAAACCATGGCCAGACAAACGCGGCGGAGCATCGACCCATGGGAACTTCGACGTCTAGCCTCCCTAGTCTTCGTGAAACTGCACCAGAGCTTCTTCTTCTCGCCCAAGGCCCCAGTCGAATCAAGGAGGTATGGTGTGGAGCGAGCAATTTGGATGACACCCCACATTCTGTCTCGCATCCCTTTGGCGTCTTCTCCCTCACGTTGTTGAAATTTCAAAACCCCAAAGGAACGACGGGGGCCCCAGACGGTGATGGCATTCTGATCGATGTTGTCCCGCACCCCATCCTTGGCAAGAAAGCCCGCACACTCGTCGATGATGACCTGTCGTTTGGAGTCCTGGGCCCACCCCCCGATGATGAGGGTCCTTCTGTCTTCTTCCGTGAGCTCATTGTCAATAGTCCCAGGTGTACCACCATGTTCACGGGCAGTCCCAGGTGCCAAAGGGACGGCACGCATCCCAGGAGCAGGTCCGTGTTTTCGACGATATTCGGCCCAAGCATCACCGGGTGCTGCACCATCATCAGGACCAGGACCAGGAGCACGACCAGTGATCGACCCCTTCTTCAAGTCTTCAACGTCCTTAGTGAGCTGAGCAACTTGAGCTTCAACATTCGCCCCTTTTTGTTCGGACCGAGAAAGTCTGGAGTGCATCCCCTTCAACTCCTCTTTGGTGGTCGCCCCAGCTTCTTCAAGTTGGCGTACTCTCCCAGTCATCTCGTTCCAGGAAGCAGAGATGGGACCCAAGTGCATCTCCAGTAGACGCTGAAGCTCACTTGTTGTGACCGGTGCATCAGGCATCACCTCATTAGCACGAGCCGCCCCGGGAGCACCTTCGCGACAACCTTCACGACCTGCACCATGACGACGTGCACGACCCTCATGAGTGGAGGCAGGTTCACGAAGACGTTTGCCACGACCCGGGCTTCCGCCCGTCGCATCCACAGGCATGGGTATCCGTTGTTCGCGACCATCGCTGGCACACCCTGGCGGGAGCTCTTCATCTTCATCTTCTCCCTTGCCTTCGATCTTGACTGACTCCAGGTCCTCGTCATCATCGTCCCTGATGACTTCAGTAGGCGACGGAGGCGGTGAAGGAGCCATTCACGATGAACTCGCCTGTTGGGGTCACGAACAGGTAAGACCGAAGCAGGTAAAAGAAAACGGGCAGGCACACCCCAAGGGATCGCCGGTGAGAGGAAGTGGATCGAGCAGAAGACGAAGAAGACACCCCTGAACTTGGCGAGCTTCCGGAGGATCGTGTAGTTGAAGACACCCAAACGGACGAGACTATCCCTCAGTTCCTCGTGAGCCAAACAGCCTTGAGCCGTAGCCATTTCGGGGGGGCTCTGCTGTATAAGGTTGTTTGCCTATTGCTCCGGAGTTTGAGCTGGTGCCGCCGTTCATAAAAACAGCAAACGGAGGAAAGAAGACGGACTTGGGGCACTCAGCTCTTCTGCTACTCTTGCTTGCACGCAGCCGAAGAGGAAGCGGTCCGCGCCCCCTCTTGCGCACATGTGCGCACTGGAGCTGTCTCTGTGTGACACGATTCCCCTCGGTTGCTACTCTCTCTCTCTCTCTCTCTCTCTCTCTCTCTCTCTCCCCCTTCTTGCTTGCTTGCTGGCGGTCTTTCGGGGCCTCGCGTCCAGTCCGGGGATCACCCCTCGTGAGTGATCAGAGCTCTGCCGTTCCTCCACATGCGATCAAACCGGCAAGCAACGTTAGTACGCCCACAAATGTCGCATGTAAAGGGAACTCCAGAAAGTTGGAATATGGTTTCAGGGTAGTATCCCCTATAATTCACCTTAAAGGGGTTACGATAATGATATTCCAACTTTCTGGCTTCTACTGTAGGTGATCTGGCGGGGGTCATGAATTTATATCTCTCCCTATGGCTCCCTCTCTGTCTGCGTCATGTTCCTGCTTGCGACTGATTCGTGCCCAAGGTGTCCACTTCGGGATCGCCACTTTCCAAATGGGAGTTTCCGAAAATAGGGGACCCTAATATAGCACCCTAAACTAAATGGTAGGATCCTTATTAGAAGGACCCCAAAAATAAAGGTACCCCTAACATTCGGAAACTTCCAAATCGCAATCTACCTTGTTTGCTTGCTCAGGCCCTGGCGCAGGAGGGGCACCTGCATCCTCCTCCACGCGGCCGAGCCATGGTGCCTGAGACGAGCCACCTTCCGAGCGAACTGCCAGGGTGGTCACACATGTTAATGTAGGGGCCTTAATAAATAGAACCAAAATAGCGTAGGCAATTATGTGAGATGCCCTGGGGTAGCCCGCCTCGCGGCGGGCCTGGCAGCGCCCCTTGCTCCAAAGAAGCAGCCCGTGCCTGGAAAACAGTTCAGGCTTTTGCCTGCTTTGGAACGGTTCCGCAAAAATCTGCTACAGGGTGCCAGAAAGACCTGCGTGTGATTAGGCGAACATTGGTAGCCAATCTTACAACCGGCTTCCCTCCGCGACTTGGATGAAGAAGCTCCTTCAGCGGCCACTGAGGAGCTGCACTTCACATGGACTCTGCACGCTTTCCCGAGCTCTTCCCGTTCGTGTCCATCGCTGATTGTTAGGAGGCTGGATCTACAGCTCGAGATTTGGTGGCTCTAGTCTGTGGCGTTTCTTTACATATAAGCGGATTATTCCTGGTGACCTCTGCCTGGGCATGGAGCGCCTCAGACAGTTGACCCAACGGCAGTCCAAGTTTCATGGCTTTCATTTGGAGATTTAGCACCCCAGCCCAAAGCCATGCATCGCCATCAAAACCAAAAATCTGCGCTGCAGCTGCCGACTCCACGCGCAAACACAATTCAGAGAATGTTAGCTGCACCGTCTTGCACCGAGTAGGCTTTGCAAATCTATCCCTCCCCACGCAGAAACAAAAACTACGACCAATGCCAATGACGTCTGCCTGGGTCCATTGGCCGAGGTGCTGGGGCCGGATACGCATTTGTTGGCTGGCCCTGCGGCGACCTCGGCGTGCTTTGAAAGGACCGACTCTCCTCCCATGAACCGAAACATGTGCAAGAAGCCACCAAACGATGGACACGACGGGTTGTAAACCTGCATTGTAGTACATGGGTGCATTTTCATAACCACTGGGCTACAGTAAGCAGTCAGGTCAGGAGGTATTCAAAGTTGCAGTCAACAAGCTTTTGTGCATCCTGATGCGATGGACATTTGACGCCTGCTCCGATCCCCCGTTGACCCCTGTGCCTATGCGTATACATCTTTGTGTTCGTGTTCTTGGGGGGTGTAATGGTTCGGGTTCGAGCGCGGACCGGACGTGCCGCACGGACGATAAGACACTATCGAAAGGAAATTCCGACCGGACGAAGAGACATTACTTCGAGTTGGTGACTCGTTTTTTCCTGATGTGCCGAAATAAAGACTTTGGTCTCCGGCACCCTAGCTCGGCCAATAAACGCGCTTTCAGGCAAGGGAGGACGTCATGTCACCAGGTTTCGGCATGGATACCCTGGTCACAAGATGCGCCTGGAATGGGTACAGGGCAATCGCGACCAAAAAGTATGCACCCACTCATGAACAAAAAAGTGCACAAGGGGTGCATCGAGACCTGCAGGGCAGGCGCAAGCGAGCAGTGTAGCTGCTCATATGTAGCGTCTCATCGTCTGGTCGCTTCGGTCGCGCTGCTTTCCGGTCGCCCGGGAGCACAAATTGTGCGTAAGGATTCAGCTCAAGTCGGCTCAATGCGTGCACTAGCCCAGCGTGTCCCGACTGTTTCGATAGGCGCATTTGCGAATTCCTGCCGTCGTCGGCATCTGGTGGTGGTAAACCTACTTGCTACTGAGGCTTGCTGGCATCGCCGGCCTTGCAGCAGTCGAGGCTGACACCCCCAAGATTTGGAATCTTGGAAGTTCAAGTTAAGGCAGGAAGCATAGTGCGAGGATTGGCGCCCGGTGTGAGGGAGACCGACTGCATCACGCGTCCTCATCACAACGCAGTAAAGTCACTTCGTCAAATCGAACGAAAACAATCTGCAACTGCCAACATCCAGATGCTGGCCAAAGTGAATATTTCACACATGCCCAACTGTTCGACCTGTTTGATTTCAGACCCTCTCATGCCTACACCCCGTCCTTGCGCGCATGCATCAGCAGAGGCAGCATACTGATGTCCAATTGTCGCGCGCCCTCCGCCGCGCCCCAACTGCATGTAAGGCCTGCGACATGGCTGAAGATCGCAAGCCCTGCTTTACGCTCTCGCAACTCGGACAAGCCAGACGAGGTTCTCGGTGCGCCCTGCTTTAGGGTTTCATATGTTGCTCTCCCTAGCCGAAGGCTTAACAGCAGAGCACCTAAGAGAGCCACACAAGCTTTTCGATCATTTGGCCCTGGCGTTCCACGCAGTTACAGCTCGACCATCCCCTGAAGCTGCTGCTGACGAGTGCTCAAATTCCAGTTCCTGCAGGGATCCCATGTTTGCACAGACTCTGACACAAGGCCACATGTCTGATGAGCTGGTGGGACCGTTGATTCTGCCAGGAGTTCACACCGGAAGAAAACCCGGAGGACTCGACATGGGAGAAATCGGCAGCCGTCTTAGCTACATCCTCGACACCAGCCTCCCCACGAACGTTTGCATGCTGTATGTCCATATACATTCCTCCAGGTATACACGATGCAGTGGCACCCAACTACGCTAAACCGCTTTGCTGCTATGAGCAGCCTGGATTATCCTTTAAAACAGTGAACACTACACCGTGCGCCTTACACGGACATGCAAGATGCGGCTCAGAAAGGCCTATCAGCGCATTGAGGGCTCGCTGGCACAACGGGCGAGCGCGGACAGCCCGCTGGCGGTGCGTAGGCTGACACTGGCCGAGGGTTTTGCCTGCAAGACAAGATACCGTCATTCACAGTGGGTATTGTGTTCTACTGCCGACATCATTGCCACGATGATTTCTGACTGCTGTCATCATTCCGATTATTGCCTCGCCGCCGTTGTTAAATACTCATAGTGTCCTTGAGCTACTGGTGATTACATGAGTGCTGTAGGTGCAAATATGAAAGACTTTCAGTGGAAGGCAGCGGCAGCAGTGCAGGCAGCAGCAGCAGCAGCAGACGAATAAGTAATAGTAGTAGTAGAGGTAGTAGTAGTCGTCGGCGTAGTTGTACTCGTAGTAGTCGTCGTCGTAGTGTAGTCGTAGTCGTAGTCGACATAGTCGTCATAGTCGTCATAGTCGTAGAAGCAGTAGTAGTAGTAGTAGTAGTAGTAGTAGTAGTAGTAGCAGTACTAGTAGTCGTAGTAGTCGTAGCTGTCGTTGTTGTTGTCGTCGTAGGAGTAGGAATAGTAGTGGTAGTAGTCGTCGTCGTCGTAGTAGCAGTAGCCGTAGGAGTAACAGTAGCAGTAGCAGAAGACGCAGTAGTTGTTGCTGTTGTTGCAGCAGTAGCAGCGCAGCAGCAGTGGCGGTGTCAGCAGCGGCAGCCGTAGCTGTAGCAGTGGAAGTATCAGTAGCAGTAGCTGCAACACTAGCAATACTACTTACTGAGTAGAAGTCGTCGTCGTCATGATCGTCGCAGTAGTAGCAGTAGTAGCGATGGGCGCGACTGTAGCAATAGTAGTAAGTAGTACGTAGTACGTAGTATGTAGTAAGTACTCGGTAGTAGCACAAGAGGCCGTAGCCAACAAACGCATGTGGAATCACTACTTGATGCGAACAGGAGGGTTTGGAAAGTCAGTAAGTCCGGGAAAAACTCTCGGAAAACTAAATTATGCCTCATCAATGCGAGGCATGAGCCATTTGCAGAATGTTGGAGCCTATGTGGCAGTCTAACTACCATCATGAGAACGGAGTGCCCGCTGGCAAACCTGGAAAAGCCCACACATCCTACGAGGGAGGAGTTGTAGCAATGGTGGAATTCTGGAAGACTGTTCGTGTTGATGACAGAAGGAAGCGCGAGTGCTTGCTGATTGCCGCATGCAGCCTCCGCGGATCCACGACACGTTGCTGTTGCGACATGGCGCAGGGCAGTGTGAATAGGCCTTCAAGTCTATTCGTCACCACAGAACCTATCAGTGGAAGTTCGCTGTTGGTAAAGAATCCAGGCAACAGCTTAGAGTACGTCGCCCAGGAACACATGTAACACATGACACATGTTTCTGACCGTCGCCAAAGCTTTCTGCATCTGAGCAAAAAAGCTGCAGACTAGTTTCGTGGATCCACTTGCAGCCAGCGACCACACAAAATCAGATTGGTCTTCAGAGCTTCGTGCATCTTTGCCCGGAAGGTCCCTAGAAAAGCACATATTCCACCAAGAGGGCGGTCCCACACATGTACGTGTGTGTGTGTTGATGATATACTTGACCGTGCAAAAACAAAAGACCTCTGTAAGAAGCAAGGCTGATCACAAGTTCCACGATTTCGTAAGTAAACTTGCCCAGAAGAGCGTCTGCATCCCAGCTCCATCCCAATCATCCCAAAGGTTCGAAAACACTTCAGATCACGATCACATGCCTTGATACGAGGGCTCTTCGGTCAAACCTCCCATAGAGTGATGCGATTTGGGGACTCCGGGTTCCAACAAACCCTGTCAGGACCCCGGCTGTCACCGCCCCGCCTCAGACGGACTGCTGTCGATTTGAGTGTGTCACCGTGAAGGCATGATCTCTCCTCTCCGTCTGGGCCCGATCAATGAACCGGCATAAATCGGCATTTGGATATAGATATCTTGGAATACCAGTCCCAGTTCCAAGCAAAACAACAAATCGACAAGAAGCCGCCTCATGTCACTCCATCTGGACGTCCCCCCTGTTTCTGAAGTTGCTTTAGATGCCTTGAAACAACGTCGTTCAACACGAACGCCCCCCAGTGGGGTTTACTCGGAGGTGCCCTGAAAATCATTCCGGGTGATGCTAAGGCTGCTTCCCACTGGAACTGCTGCGTTGGTCCCATAGGGACCTGGGCTGTCGAAAGGACATCTGCGAGATTAGACTGCATCCGGCCATGGTGGTGCAGCAGTGCTGCAGGGCTACGACTGGTGAGAAGAAGTGACGTGCTTGTGTATGTGCATATACAAATACAAATACATACACGTACACATACAGGTAGAGATACATGTGCGCCTCTACATGTGTATATATATATATATATATATATATATATATACATATATATATATATATATATATATATATATATATAATTTTACTATTTATATGTATATATATATATATACATACATACGTATGCTCTCGGGTCCCGGGCAGCCCCCCCCCCCCCCACCATGGTATCCCCCCACCCGCCATGCTGCCCTGCTGCTGCACGCCCGCCCCGGCCCGCACCTGCCCGCCTCTCCACCTGGTGCGCAGATCGGGGGTGTCGCACTATGCCTTGCCGCGTGCGGCAAGCGGCAATCGGCACAGTAGTTTCCAGCATCTGACATGACTTGCAATGCTGAATTATGAGGGTTGTATGGCGATGGTGATGGTGGCAGATATTCTTTATTATTCTTTTGATGGTGTCAATGATGAAGATGACGACGACAAGGATGATGTTGAGCATGGTCTGATTGTCGACTCTTGTCCCGGTCTAGAGCAGCACAACATCATGAGCAGTATCACTGCTGCCACAGCAAGAGGGAAGGCAAGGAGTAACACATAAGAACGTCGCGGCAAAAAGAGTACCACCACAGGCCGGGCGAAAGGGGGGAGGATACCATGGGGTGGGGGGGGGGAGGAGGGGGGTGTGGCAGCCCTGCATCATATATACATAATTATACATATATACAGATACATCTTTTTCGAGTGAACCAGAGAAAGTTGGAACACGGATCAGGGACCAGTAGTGTTGGGATTCTCATTTCTTTGTCTTAAGGTACTGAGGATAGTGATGTTCCGACTTTATGACTTCTACTTTATCGGTTTTCAAAAGGAAAACGCATACAGCTATCGATTACAACTATATTGGTTAAAGAGCTAGATACATACATATATATATATATTCCATAAAGGTTTACATACATATATATATATATATATATATACATAAGTATATACATAGCATGTATACATACAGCATGCACATCTAGTGTCTGCCGTTGGTGTAGTAGGAGCCTTGTTACATGGACCCCTCCGAAGAGCCCCGAATGCTCTGAAACCTGCATGGAGGTATGCCAAGCTGCAGGTCTGCTCGTGGGCACTGGCTTCCTGGCATAGCTGGGTTTAGCGTTTCGACTCTTATACACACAAAGGCAGGCAAAAGGAATCACAACAAGTCGGTCCAACACATGCTCCTCATGTACACATGTGTCGATGGAATTGAACCACCAACCGTACAACCAAACACGATCATATTAACGCTGCCGGGCACATACCAGGATCAGAAGGTGACCAGGAGACAAACACTCACATCACTACCCGATTCCTGCCAGCGCACGACAGGTTAAACCGCTGCATTCGGACTACGGCTCCAGGGTAGCAGCACATGCGAGCAACATCGAGCAACCCAATCCATAATGAGCCCAAGCCCATCCGGCTGCGAGGGTTACGTTCTACTCCCTCCTGAAGTTACAGTCGTCAAGCCATCTAGCCTCCGTACAATTCTGCAATGGTTTCCGAGCAAATTCACGAACTCAGAGTTGCAACTGCTGAAGCCGATATATGGAAAACCACACGGCGGCAGAAGTCATGTTCCTTCCTATACTAGTCCATAATCATCCGTGAAAGTTGCGGCGACTCGACATGTCCTGATCAATGGACTGAGACATGCGACGCTTGTATATCCACCATGGCAAACCCCAAAGGCCTCAAAGCTGGGGTATTGCGACCCACAGAAATTGCAAGCATAGCAAATCACCTGCAAGGTCAACAGGGCAATATGGGAAAAGAGTGGCGGTTTATTTCGTGCTGCAGACCAGCGTGGCACCTTCTCGGAAATATTTTGGGTGCCAGCAAGACGGCACAGTCTTCAAAGGTCTTTACCACTGCGGGCCTTCGCTTCTCTCCAGCCATACATCTGCAGCTGCACCCTGCAGTGTTCATCCAAGGGTCACAGAACTTGTTCTGCTCCATTCAGCACAAACTCGTGACGGACTCCTACCCCCTAGGCTGCAAAATGTATGCGTCTCGCCAACATCTGAGCATGCGACAAGAAGCAAACCGTCTGGGCCGCCCCAGTCTCAGTCCACAGTTCAGCATGGATTTGTGCTGGCAGATGCTGGCAAACGTAACCCAGCAAATGTGCTGATGCTGCCACACCAAGGTCCCACATCACTGCAAACGTCCTGAATGAAGTGGAATGACCCTGAAACCGGAGGAGAAAGAAACATCCCAAAGTTTGAGTGCAACGCAATGGCGACGAAGAGCCCCAAGAGGCTCACCCTTGCCAGGAGAGCTGAACGCACCGCACACTGCTTCTGCTGATCGTGCTCTTATATCAACTCTTCTCGGAAATCTCCCACTCCCAGCACCGCGATCCCACGCCCCGCGCACACTCGCCATGTTTCATCTCAAGGCTAGGAGAAGTAGCAGTATGCGGTCACTGCGATGGGTGCAGGGAGACTGTCTTGGCCATGAGCCGGGGCCCTGGCCACCTAGGCGCGTCCATGATATAGCGGCCACCAACCTCTGCTTCCCGCAAGAGGGCGGCAAACTGGACTGACGCATTCAAGTGTGTTGATCATAGAGGCCTTATCAGAGCGACACGACCCTGTCTCAACCCTGATGGTCATCCAATACATATTTGCTCAAATGTGGCAACTTCGTTGGAACCCCACACGTCACCGTGTGCACAAGGGTCATCTCACTTAGTAAGTATAGCTTTGGTCGGTGCGCCGCCACCAATGCCCCCAGGCTCATGGCAACCAGCGAGAGGAGAAAGTGCTGCCTGCATTGCATGCATGCCCTTTTTTGCAACTGGGCTTGGGGGCTAGCCAGATCCTTGCATCGCGGCCTTTCGTGTTCACCCGACTCTGTGCAGGTGCATTACTCGGCCAAAGAATGATCCACTGAAGAATTGCCGGTGTCTGAATTGAGTTTCTGAATCAGTCCGTAACTTGGTGCATCTTGACCCTCTGCTGCATGCCCTGAAGCTAGTACTGACATTTACGACTACGAGTGAAGTACTAGTATAATCGTGCGGGTAGTCACTTGGTGCTCATGCTGGCAATGAAATGATGAGTAGAAGTCCGATTTGCTGGGTTGTCGTATGTTTGCATGACTGTGACTACTCCGTTCCTCTTGCTGCGTACCATGTATACTAATTACTACCTTATAACCACTTTCATCATAGCCTGATTGATCATGACGACTGCGTTCGGTCGCTCATAGCTCATGCGACCTAGGCCTGTGGCATCCACCTGGAGCATCTGAATCCCGCCACGCATGCAGCCATCACTGGCCCTCCCACCCCCCGCCTGGAATAAAAAGAACGCAACGAACACTCGGTTGAATCAAAACACGTATGTGCCAGACGCCTGCTTTTATAAGCACAGCATTCTCGCAACATACTAGAGGCATGCATGAATGGAACAGGCGGTTATACCAGTACTGCAAACAACAACATGAAAGCATGGAAGGGCTGGCAGAGCAAACAGCAAGCAATAGTGAAATGCTGGTAAACTGGTAAACCGAAGTCGCAACATCTGACAAAGGCAACGTGCACAGCATTGATAGCTAGAGGTACAGTACGAATGACAACCATTGCAACTGTCGCGGGGGTGCACTAGGCCTCCTCACAGCTCCGCAGACCTCACGACTGGCATTCATTCCACTGCTACTGGGAGCATACGTAAATCACAAAACGACCTATTTCTTGCAGTGTACCTTGCAAATGCAAGGAGCAGGTATAGTGGCTTCTTGTCAATATGCACGCGCATATAAGGGCTATGGTAAGGCAGCGCAGCGAGACCCCCTGTATGCACGACGTCCCCCACACACTGGAGAGTAACGTCTCTCCAACTCCTGTGCCTTACTTACTACATCTGCCTGACTACTTGACTGCAAGGATCTTAGCATGGACGCTCTCATTGGCCAAGCTGCCCCCTATCACCTAACGGACTTTGCAGGCAAGCAGCGATCAACATGGCTCCGCGGAGAAAGAGTTGGCATGCAAAGGAGCAGAGCTACAAGCAACAACTTTCAACTGTCGACTTTCCTCTGTGTTTCGAGAGACCAAGCTTTGGGGAAGTCATGGCCATAGGTTGAGTGCCTGATAGGATCTCCGTAGCTGGAAGTTACACGGCCGAAACAAAGAAACGATGATGTTATAGCATGTGATTCTATGTTGGCAGTCTGCGGAAGGGGCCCGGGCAGCGCACGAGCGACAGGACATGAGGACATGCCAGGGTCTCCTGCTGTCTCTGGCTTTTCGACCATGTCGGACTTTTTGTGTCCGCCCCTTTGCTTATTGATCAAGCAGATATGGATATTGCCTGAAACCGGAAAAACGCATGGAAGCATCATTGCCAGTTTGACTAGGTCGTGGCCGGCAAGCATGAGACCAACAGGCACACGAGACAAGGCTCAGGCTTCCTCAAACATGATTGTCTCTTTTACAGCTCGCATGTCAACATGAGCGGCTTCGCAGCATGGCTGCGCCAGTTGTTGAATGGATCACAGATTTGGACTTCATACCTGTGACAGAGAACGGCGCGCTGCCTGTAAAGCACGTCAGCTTCAGCCCTGTCATGACATAAAGGAACCCCACTGTCAATGGCTTGCTTCGTTCCAGGAGAGAGAGTTGACTGTCGAAGACAGCTCTCTGAGTGTCCTCGAGGATTCCCCTATCTTAAAGCTCGCGCCACCTGCCCAAAACTCGCAGGTCAAACCACATGCTCCTTAAAGAGACTCGCGGCCTTGCCTGGCTTGCTTTGAGGGTTACCCAGAAGCAGCCAGGCTACCACCAAAACTTGCTGCACCAGATCACCTTTAGTGACTGTGCGAAATAACGGAACAAAGCTGCCACAAGCGCCGTGGCAAACGGTCAGTGTCCACCTCGCCAGTGCAAAGGCAACTCATGCCAAGGCACAACAACTCAAAGCGAAGCCCAGGTTAGAAGCTCAAAGCATGCAGTCACAGCCCTCGTGCATACCAGCCCAGATGTGATGTGTCATGAATTTTACAAGTCGGAGTAGCAGCTCCCTGCGCCTGGTGGACGAGCCCTCTCCTTGGCACGAGCCTGAGAGAGCGTAGTCGCGGGTGATCCATACAGGCTTTGTTGCGCGGCTGCGTGCTTGGACTGTCTGAAGCAGAACTACATCTTGTGTGGTCAGATGGTTCACAGGAGACAGTGTCAACACGAAGCTAGACACTCATTACTTGTACCAGCTGCTACTAGCTGTTCGATTCCTGTGTCAACTGACGATAGGCTATGATAGGTGTCTACATGTTCAGCACAAACTAGTGCATCATGCTGCATACTTCATTTCGAACTGCCGCTGACAACTTCAACCGTACTGAAACACCAAAACACTGCGATACTGGCGCACTTGGAGATGTCTGCCACTTGCCCGCATGCTATACTCCACCACTGCTCCGATGTATCGTCTCAGCACCCTTCGATACTGGATCTTGGTCCCCGACACGGCTCGGCCTTATATCTGCAGCGGCTGGAGGGGCCTCCTGCAGAGCCCAGCCAGGTGGAGAACCAGAGGGTTTTCATTTCATTGGTTTCCCAATATGCCGCGCTGCTTGACAGGCTCAGGAAAGCTGACGTCTCGCATGAAATGTCTGACCCAAATCATGCCTTGCAGCGCTCCTTCCTGCTTATCGGAAAGATGGGATGCGAAATCACATCTAGCATCATTTTGCTGTCTCTCAACAGTGCATGGACAAGTGAACCATCTGGCGAACCCGGTGCATGGACAGAGCACTGAAACACCCGTAAATGGACTCAAGTGCCAGAATGCTGCAATTTGTCCATGGCACCCACATTAAAGCAAGAGCGTGCTGTAAGAGGATTCAACTTCCCACGAGAATGTTGCAACCGAGGTCCGCCAGGCCGAAAGGTCTCCCGAACATGGTCTTACAAAACAAGATCCCTGAACTCAAAGCTGCTGGTTCCCCTGATGTCTCATCCCGGCTCAGGGGACCGGACCTTGAGGCGCCAAGTCTTGGTAGTGTCATCCAAACCTGCTTTCTGATAGTCTTAGATAATGTAAGTATATGAAAGGTTAAGGACAGCCTATAAAACTTTAACACTTCAAATCTCAGAACTCAGATGCTGCGGAGCTTGCTGTGGCCGAAAGATTCGAGTGTCCAGCTCTCAAGGCTTGGAGATGTTGCTTCCGATAGAAAGTTTCGGTGCGAACAAACATCCGTTCAAGGTGGCAAGATGCGCGTCGCTTGCAGGCATACTTCCTACGTGGATTGGAAAGTAAGGTCAGAGGCAGATCTGGGCGGCTTCGTCCTAGCTTGGACATGTTAGTTGCCGCTGAAGCTGCTCGGAGCTCTCCTTTTCACAAAGGCTTTTGGTTGAAGCAGGCTTGCAGGTTTTCAGGGATTGAGAGTTGGCCTCGGGCTTGGCCAGCTTGGCCGGTGGCCACTCGACGAGACATGCCCCTACCCTATAACAACTTGCAGCTCAGAGCGCGTGCTGGCTGACCGAGCACAGTAGATCCAGTCACAGAAGTCTCCGACGCGCGAAAGCCATGGGGGCACATCCTCAGCTGGAAGCTGAGATTGCAATGCTCAAGCCGTCCAACTTCGCTGCAAGCACAGAAGACGTTCGAGCCATTGAACAGTTAAGCGGGGCCCAATGGACTGCGGCACAAAACCTTCGAAAATCGAATCTGCTTTTCGCCTGGTCAACTGGAGCCTTGCTCGGTCGTTGCACGGGAGTCACTGGAAGAACACAGGTGAAACGAAGAATCCCCCAAGAGCAGGATCCTACGTGGTCGTCACATGACGACATGTTTGCGCCAGGGCCAAAGAGCGTGGCGATGAAAGTGCTAAACTCTCCAAGAATCAGCTCGCAGAACTCTGCCATATCGATCTCCCCGTTGCCATCGGTGTCAGCCACATCTGTGCATTGCGGAACTGTCCAGAACAACGCGCTTGATCCTAGCACTCGACATATCTAAGTACAACCTGGCAGAAGTGCTGAAGGCAGTGTGGACATGCTCGCCCAGCTCGAACAGGACAAGAAAGGAAATCCGATTATTTCACAGCCGGTCTGCTTGCGACAGATGTGACACCCTGAGACTAAGCCCAGCCAAGCAGCTGATGAACTCCTTGGCATAGTCTTTGTCCTGGGAGCGCTGCCACCCAAAACTGTGCAGTTGATTTCTGGGGGCTGCCCAACAAACTTCCAAAACGTTCTGAAAACAAAAAGCTAAACCTGAAATGCATCGAAGACACTATGAGGCCAGACAGAATCAGCTCATTCGCAGATACGCTTCCTCCTCGGTCTTTGTCGAAGTAGTTGAACACTGCCTCATCGAAACAGCACACTGGAAATTGTCAAGCACTCAACGGCCAGGACGTAAAGCACCACGATGTTGCCACGACATCGTTGCAACTTGCATGAATCCGTCCGTCCGCCTTGTTCCTATCTGGAGCCACGAGCACTTGTACAATATGCAGATAGATGAAAGCGCCTGTTTTCCACAGAGGCTGTTAGTAAGTAACCAAATTCTTGAGAAACAAATACAAGGCCGTCTGCAAGCCCCGCAAATGAACAATCTTTCGGTGACGTCGCATGCTCCGTGCGGTCATCAACCGTCATGTGTCCTAGTTCGGTGACGCACACAAACGTAAGAAAAAGCTAGCATGCCTGCATGTTACACATCTCAGTTTCTCTCTCTCTCTCTCTGCCATCTCAGTTTGCAGTCGCCAATCGAGAAGGACTTATCACACGGTAGTACTCGGTTGGACTCCAGGCCCACACTGCGGCCTGGAGGGCAGCTCTCTCTTCGGAGGGCAGAACTGGCGGGGGGCTCACCCGCCACTTGTCGCCTGAGTTGAGCACCGGTGCTTCAGTGACTGTCTCTACTCTGCTTCTGAGTTGATATGACAATTGCAGCTCGTCGGAATTGGGAAGTTGTCAGCTGTGCCGTAAAGGTCTCACGCCAGGGACATCAATTAACACACGGTATATAGAAGGAAGGAGAACCCTTCACTCTCGCCCACGGGACGTACCCTTGGCTACGAGGCTCCGTGGCCCCCACCTCATCGCTTACATGGCACAGGCTGCTGACTTCCCCTGGGGTCCCATACCTGCAGCCCCGAAACCTGGCCGAATGGAGTCCAAAACTGAAGCACAACCTGACGGAAGATCTCTCGCACGACAGGCCAAGCAGCTAAGCAACCCAAACTAATACGCCCAGCAACGTGTGCGGTTGATCTCGTCGCACCAGCTCCTCATTTGTCTTAGGTCCTCCTCTGATGAGCAAGACCAGATCAACCGCATGATGTCCTGCGAAAGCGCAGGCGAGTGTCGTGTCTGCAACAGCTGATGTTCAGCTTCGGGCTTCACAGAAGCTCTGGTCTGCTGATATACATGGCTCATCAGTAGCAGCTTCAGCCAATTCCGTGCAATCCAGCATTGGCTGTAATTCAACTATCCATCGTCCGTTTCTGACCACCCATCCTCGATGCAGAAACTCTGCTTGCGGGCATTCGTCAGTACCTGGAGCACAAGGGAAGGCTCTCGTTACGAACAGGGGCCAGGGGGAGCTCAGAGCAGGATCCCAAAATCTCGGAAACCACCCGCGGCGAAACACAAACTCGGATGAAGAACCGGGCTCCATCTGCAGAATCTGTATGAGAACGCCAGCTGCAGCTGCACCGCACTTCACTCGCTGCAGCCGTTGCTGCCGATTTTATCTCATTATCTCGGGAGGCTTCAAGTATCTTTCTGCTGTGCCTTCATGAAAGCTCCTTCTCTCCTTGATTTTGGCGCTGCTGTGTTTACAGGGTGCTGTTCGACATTCATTGCTTGTTCGCTCGCGCTCAGGCCCGTTCGATCACACTCGCGCCACCTCTGGGCACTTGCAGTGCGCACTGGACCCACGTAGGAGGGCTCTTGTCGTGTTGATCATGAGTCCAGGTTGGAGAAGGAGTGGCCGTCACGATACTATAATGAGAAGGTGGCCTCGGACTGCTAAGGTTTACACGAACAGAGTGAGGCACATCATCTAGAGGATCGTAAGACGACATAGGAGTTGGGGCCCCCAGGCTCACAACTCCACACACCCAAAACTCCCCAAACCCTCATCATTCATCTTTCACACGAACCTTGAGCCACGATCACGTGGCGTGTCTTCCTTGCGCAGGGGCCCATGCTCACCTGCACATGCCGTGTCTTCCTTGCGCAGGGGGCCATGCTCACCTGCACATGCCGGCACACCTGCACTCCTCCTCGTCAAAACTTCGCTTAACGAGTCGAGGCTTTGGCGTTCATATGGTGTGCTCAAAAAACATGCATCCACCTGAGGTTGGACTATTCCTTCGACCTCGGATGGTATATAATTACAGCTCAACACCAACCCGTATCCGGGACCAGTGATGCGCACTCTCACACAACATTGAGCTTCCCTCTTGAGCTTTCCAGCTTGACCCGCGAGAGAGTCTTCGTCAACCCATCAGCCGGAATCAGCTCGCCACTCATATGCAGCATAGGGATGCCATCATTCTTGAGGTGGTCTCTCAAGTACGAACATCTCATACCAAAATGGCGTGTACGGGTAGGCTGTACATACTCCGACCCCTTGGTGAGGTTGCTAACACAGGCAGAATTGTCCCCGAACAGCTCCGTTTCCACATCCTTCTTCAGGAACTTGTCCACAAACAGCTTCACCTGTGTTCCTAGCTGATACGCTGTTGCCGCTGCTTCGACTTCTGCCTCAAAGGCAGAATAAGCAGTTAAAGACTGTCGCTGAGTACGATATGCGATGGTATAGCCACCAAGCTTCACCACCACACCGGTCCTTGATCTCGATGCTCCGGGCGCTAACGATGCATCTCCAAAGATCGAAAGCTTCTCCTCCTGAAGATTGCCCCCGGCTCTGAAGAACAACACCTTATCCCTGGTACCAGCTACGTACCTCCAGACTTGTGTCGCAAGCTTGTACGTCTTCCTCGGGTCCACAGTGCTCATGCAAGATAAGGCCCCGACTGTAGCAAGCAAGTCTGGTCGAGTGCGAAGCCCCAACCAGAAAAGTGAACCAATCTCCGACTGCGCACGGTGCAGGTCCGCACCGTACGCATCATCCCGGGTCACCGGCACCGTCTGTCCTTCAACCACTTCCGGAAGATTAGCGGCACCTTTAACCGCCGCCCAACCGCGCCGCTCCAGCTCAAGGATGCTGATGTAGCGACACACCCTCCTCAGTGCGTCTGATCACCATCCCCAGGAACTGCAACTCCTGCCGAATCGGGACCTGCTTGTCACCCACCTGAACCTTCTCACCGACCTTCAACCCGTCACTCGGCAAGAACCCTTGGATCTTCATCTGCCACGTCTTCAGCAGCACCTCTGCTAATGCCTGGCATAACGACACCGGTCCCACAATCAACCCGTCATCAACGTACATGTCGAATGCACCGAAGAATGACTGTGGCTCTCCTTGCTTCCTGATGGCCCACACCCCGGACGAAACAGGATCGAGGAAGAACGTCGTGCCCTCTGCATCCTCAAACGTCTTTCCGTCCAGCTCCTCGTTTCGACAAACTTCCCAAAGCTTCGGTCCTTTGCGTAGCCCGTACAACAACTTACGAAGCCTCCAAACCTTAGAAGGTCCCATCAGACCCTCTCTGGATAACACCTTTGGGGGTCTGACAAAGGTTGTGTCATTGTCCATCTTTGCGTTCAGGAAGGCAGCCGTAACATCCAGAACCAGTCCAGTCCAGCTCGGATTGCTTGCAAGGCAGGTTGCGCTCCACCGGATGTGCTCGATAGCAGGGTTGGCACTCGCGTTGTCCGGATCGTGACCCACCGTATTCTGCTCATAATTGCCGCACACCACTATCCGCGCCTTTGCCCTCCAAGTACTCAAAGGCTCGGCTGGGTCCACCTCCGCGTCATTGTCAAGAGGTTTTTTGGTCAGTACCACCTTGGACGGAAGCACCTTCGCTCCCGATGGTATGTCCGCCTCATCCCACTCATCATAGATCTCCTTCTGTTGAAGCGTCTGCAACTCAGGTTTCAAACCCTCATTTATCCACTTCAGCTTCTCATCCGCCGGTGTTTTAGGGTCAGACAGGATTCTTGCATCAATCGTGTCCGTAACCAGCTGCGCAACCTTGACCTCTGCCCGGTTCATCTCTTGCTCAACCTCATACGGCAGGATTTGATAGCGATCGGCCTTGTCGTCATTCTTCACCTTCTTCCGGACCTCAGGTACCATTGCAAGTGGCTCCTCCTCAAGATGATTACCGGCAGATGCGCGGGCCACGAAAGGCAAACCCTGCTCAACATGACCACCTTGTTCGCGCTCTTCCACCGTAAGCATTCCCAAATCCACTCCAAGGTCCCGGACTACCTCACCGTCCCGAACCTGGCCCGAAGAACTGATCCAGACCAAATCTCCCAACGGTGTGACATGTGTTCTCCACTGCTCCGGCTTCTTATCAATCACGGCTGGCAATCGCGTGGTGATCAAATGCTCCTGACCTGCCCTCGTGACTAACACCAAAGCACCCTGCACTGCAACGTCCGACTGAGCAATGAAACGCCCTGGCTCCACTCTGGGGTCAAAGGGACCCGCACCTTGCACAGTCACAGCAACATAGTCGCCTGGCTCAGGCAACCTTCCTTGATGAGGACGGTTTAAGGTCACATCCCTCTGCCTCCTCGCAGCTTCTGCCATCATGAGTGGCCAGAACTTCTTGTTGATGCCACCCCGGATCAGAAATCCCCTCGCTCGCTCTTTCAACAATCCAACAGTCCGCTCTGCAAGACCGTTTGCTTGAGGATCGTAACCCGTCGTGGTGGTTTGGAACACTCCTAAAGCATTGATCCCCTCTACAACCCGTTGCGCCAGGAACTCGCGAGCCTTATCAGAATGTATTCGAACCACCTGAGGTCGATCTCCGCACAGAGCTGACACTTGCGCCAAGACACTCTGCAATGCACTGAACAGCTCACTCCACAGCCTCCTCTTCATAGGCCGCACGAAATGCAACTGCATGCTCTCATCAATGCGAAACACAGCTATCAAGGCGTACTTCGTTCCATCATAGGCAGCAGCATACGGACCCGCTAAATCTATCTCCCTCTTTCTGCCTGCATCGCAAAGATTCCCGGAGCGGCGCAGGAAAAGCCGCGTAGCACAAGAGTCCGCTGCCTGAAGGGAGCTTCTCGACCGAAGGCTCGAGGACTCAGGAACAAAATGTTCGGAAACGTACATGTACATCCTTCCGCCTAGGGCGGGTGGGTGGGGAACTTGAGCAACGACATCGTCGGCTCTTTCAATCGGGAGATACAAGACATCTCCCTCTTTCTGCCTGCATGTCGCAAAGATTCCCGGAGCGGCGCAGGAAAAGCCGCGTAGCACAAGAGTCCGCTGCCTGAAGGGAGCTTCTCGACCGAAGGCTCGAGGACTCAGGAACAAAATGTTCGGAAACGTACATGTACATCCTTCCACTCCTATATTACTGCGGAGCACCACCAAAGAAAGACAGCAATGCGTCCGAGGCCTCATCAAGGCACTTGATGCGAGCTCTGCAAGCTGCAGAGACTTCAGAAAGCATCACCTGCGCTGCAACCTCCTGAAGGTAGTGTTCCAGCGTACGAACACGTGCCCAACGGCCCCTCCAGGCCAAAAGCGGGATGTTCTCTGTGGTGATGTAGTAAAACGTCGCACCGGACCCTCTCAGAACACCTGGGGTTGCCCCCCTGTCCGCAGAACGGAAGGGCAAGCCCAAGCGCTCAAGGACCGAGTTCCACTGGTTTCTGAAGCTGTGCAAAGAAGCAGGGTAGAGCCGATCAGACGGTGCCAGCGAGGCTGCAATGCTGTAAATAAAACGTATGGCGATAGGATCATCGATGCGACCGTGTTGCCTGCGAGCAAATCTGCTCGTCTTAAGGTTTCTCAGGTGCACAAACAAGCAGGTAGTGTGACCTAAGGTGTCAACGGGGAACACCAGGTCACGTCTCGTCAGAGCAACCAGCTCGGAGGGATGCAGCATCGCTAAAAACCCTATGACCAAGAGCGCGGTCCACCGGTACCAGCCCCAAAGCAAACCCAAGCTCACAGCAGCACGGATTGCCGCTACAGGTAACACGGGCCTGCAACTCCCTGGCTCAGCTCGCTGCCACTTCTTGTCGACCTGCCAAGCAGCGGTCAAAAAGTTCCGGTGCTGAGGGTACAAGTCCTGCACAGCCGTGATCGCGTAGACATACAAGTACCGAGGCATTCCAGAAGAATACAAGTGCAGACCGTACCCACGAAGCGCTAGCGCCGTGCTCTCCGAAGCAAAGAAAACAGCAGCGGGGTCGACACCAGCCTCCTCTTGTAGCCACTTCAAGAAAGCGTCGAGGCTCTTGCGCATCTTGTACGCGGTTGAAGGAGCGAAGCCAGCCTTCAGGTCCAGCGGCCCCCGAGGGGCCTTGGGAAGCAGAGGCCCTGGGTTGGGCTCGACGTCACCGCAGAGTAGCAACAAGAACCTCAGCCAACGTGCTGGGTTCTTGGCGACCCGCGCGGCCGCAGTCACGACCTCAAACTTCCTAGCGTCACCTCGGAGTAGGTCCGACAGCCAGCTGGGCTGCTGCCTCTTCGGCTCTTCGACGTCCCGGTCGCGGCTGGGAGGGTCAGCAACGTTGTCCTCCGAGTAGCAGTGAAGTAAGCTGTAGTAGAGCCCACTGCCTAAAACGAACCCCAAAGAGCCCTGCAAAACCCGACTAATCGCGAAACTAGACGATCTACCTTTCGCTGCCGCTCCAGTGGTCACGTGAGTCAAGGATGGCAGTCGTTCTAAGAGCATGCCCGCGGCGGGCGAGGGATTTTATCCAACTCTTGAAAACCCTAGCTTCATTGACATTGATATGACCGGGCTTAGCAAACCGATAACGGAAAAGTTCGCGAAAATGCAAAGCTTTGCAGGCCTCTGAGATCCATTCCGGATCCTCGAACCAGTCGCGGGGCGGGTACAGGCTTTCACCCACAAGAGCCTGTAGCAGGTCGAGCCCCAGGTCAAGTTGGAACCGTCGTGCAGTCTCGAGCCGCGCTTCAAGAGGCATGTGCGGCACGTGACCCCGATGAGCAGCAACGGTGCCGCTGCTGATTCTGCTAGAGAGGCCGTATGGCATCTCTCCCGCAAAGTCTTCAAAGCGGCCACCCACAGCAGGCTCTCTGCCGAACACACTGTGACAGCTTGGCAGACACCGGGAAAGAAAGCTCTGCACAGTGGCCTCAGTGAAAACTCCAGCCTGAGGCCAGCTCTCCCCACGGCTCGCGCACGTACAGTCGGAACTCAGACTGCACAGCCAAGGCTTGTTGTGAAGCAGAACAGTGGGCTTTGCAAAAGGGCTGCCGAAGCCACAGTAGCAAAAGCTACAACTCCACACACCCAAAACTCCCCAAACCCTCATCATTCATCTTTCACACGAACCTTGAGCCACGATCACGTGGCGTGTCTTCCTTGCGCAGGGGCCCATGCTCACCTGCACATGCCGTGTCTTCCTTGCGCAGGGGGCCATGCTCACCTGCACATGCCGGCACACCTGCATGTCGCATCTCATCCCAGAGTTCTCCAGAGTTCACTGACAGCAAGGCTGTGTGCCCCGCTTCGGCTTCAACTTTGAGCATTTAAAGCTTCAAGATTCTGGGCCTGCGGCCACAAGGTTCGGCTCCCTTGAACCCATTGTCAGATCCCCCCCCTGTTCTCCCTTCTCATGCAGCGCACGGAGGCGAGGCGGTCGCAGAAGCGCTGCACGAAGCGAGGACGCTCCTGGCAGGGGTCGGTAGAAACATTGAAGCATTGCTTTCGCGTGGTTGGATACTGAGTTCCCGAAACACCTGAGCCTAGCAACAGGCACACATCCCGACAAATTAGCATCGCCCCTGAATCAGACAAGGACTCAACCTGTCAAACAGTCCCAAACCTTGGCCATGTGCAGTTTCAAACATCATGGCCCAATTCTGTTGACACAGATCTTGAAAACGTATAAGGCTCCTCCTGTGGAGTGTTGGCGATCCAAGCAGGGAGCCTGCTTGCGCCGCCTCACAACGAGTAGCAATGAGATACAGATGCGGCTCTGCTTGGGGACTCTCATGCGAGAGCCATCCTTCGGGACATCTGAGGTTGTCGTTAAAGCTAACTAGGAAGCTCCGCTGCAGTATGGGCCGCAAGTTCTCCGTCATGTCCGTCCTTCTCGCAACGTGCAACGAGCCCACTTCTGTAAAGGATCCTACAAGGCTGTAGGTAGGTAGGAAGGTATGAAGAAGGTAGGAAGGTAGGTAGGTAGGTGGGTAGGTGGTAGGCAGGCAGTAGGTCGGCATGTGCGCATGTGTGTATGACTGTATGTGCATTATCAGTCAGCAGCTAGGTCGGTAAGTATGTCTGTATGTACGAATTGAGGTATGCACGTATGCAGGTATGAACATATGTATTTGTGCATACATGTACACATGTCATCTTTTATGCATGCACCGACAAAACTTGCCTACACAGGTGCCACAGAGTGCTACAGACACAGGCATACTTGTTGAAATGTACAGCCCGCGACTGCTCAGCCCGGCGCTCACGTTGTCGAAGCTCTTGCCGCTCAAGGTGCTGCCACCCGCTGCCCTTGGTCAAGAGCTTTGAAATGGCGTTCAGTTTTTATGAGTTTAACGATAAAGGAAGAAAGAGAAAAAGATAGAGGCCACTGGCTTTGAATGTATCTGGATGTTTTTGATTCGGGCTGCTGGCAGTCTGTAGGCAATACGGTGTTGTGTTGAGCGTCGCTCACATGCGCCCCGGGCAATAACACAAGTGCTCGTGACGCAGGCGCGATGTCGAAAAACTGAATGATGCAGCGATCCCAACACGGCGGGGGGGAGCGCCACTGCTTAGTGAACCTGTGGACGCCCTCTGCCACGGCCGAAAGGGCCCGAAAATCTCTTTCCATTCCTCAAAGCCAAGATTCCAGTCACCAGCGGCCACCACATCAATCATTAGGCCTGGGCTTAGGATTTTCAACGGTATCCAACGGTCAAACTCAATTCCGGGCCTGCTAGGTACGCAGGATAGGGAGAATCTTCGTACATACTCTCACTCTCGAGGCTTCCAGCAGAGCTAAAACGTTCAAAGATGCACGCCAAGCCGTAGCGAAATGACCGAAACCCAGTCGCAAGTGTTCAAATAGTGTGCCGATAATACCGTTTTGCTGGTTCCCGGTGCTCAACCCCAAATCCCTTTTGCTTGAACCCGAAACCTGAGCAGTCTATGTGTCTTCTCGTTTTGGCTGTGACGCATTGTGGGGAGCCGCTCAAAGCCCTCAACTTTCAAAGCTCTAGGCCCAGAACCTTGAGGGAAGCCCCGGTCCTGGGCGTCGATGCAACTAGAAGCCGGTTTGACGCTTCCTGTTAATCTCCCTAAACCTTACTAAACCTTAAACCCTAAACCCTAAACCCTTAAACCCGAAACCTTAATCCCCAAGGGCCCTTGGTACCTGATTGACCGGCCCTTCCTTTGCCAAGCAACGATCTCCGAGACTTCGCACCTCTGCCAGGTCCACGCGTCCAGAACAATCCACATCCTTAGTAGCAGTTGGCAACAGCGCATTCGAAGCACACCCCCTCTCTATAATCCGTCTCTCCCTGTCTCCTTCGTTCTGCTGGTCTGGAGTCTAGAGGACTTGGTCGCCGACTCTGCCCCGCGCAAGTGCGCACCCCTCTTTGGAGTGGACCGTGAGGCAGCAGGATGTGCACAGCTTTCTCGCTCTGCCCCCCCTCCGCTCCTCTTCGGGCAAAGAGGATGTGAAACGAAATATGTTTCATGGCGGTAAGAGACTAAGGTTATAAAGTATGCGATAGCGATATCCCCCGCCACTCAATCTCTGCATGCATCGTTGTCACAATACAGGGAAGTTTCGCTTCTTCTTCTTCTTCTTCTTCTTCTTCTTCTTCTCTCTTCTTCAGCACAGACAGAGGGACAACGCGGTCGCGCCGATCTGAAATGGGCTGCAACGAATGGTCTCAAGCCGACCCCACCTCGGGAAACGTCCACCCTCCCCGAAGGCCGAGATCACCCTCTGCTTACGAGAGAGGGCCGCCCCTCGGCGCCCCCAACGGGGAAGCGACAGTCGACTTGAGCTCTGTATCTATCTGGCTTTCTTCCGTCAGACAGACACTCTCTCGCTCTTTTCGCAGTTGTGGGCTTCAGGATGGGGGAGGGACCCCTCTGCCTCACACTCTCTGCCTGTTTCTCTGTGCGATCGCATCTAACCAACGCGACTGGCGACTCAGTAGCATTGAATCCCTATTCGTTGTGGTGATGGTGATAAGCCCCGCGTCATCCCGCGTCTGTCGCTTGCATGTTCGAAGGAGCCCAAAAGTCCAGGACTCAACGTTGTTGGCTTCTTGACCGCAGACTTTGTCGTTGTTCAATATTTCTGTCTGCTTTTTCGGTTCCTGGACAAGTCTCTGGCTGAAGATACTCTTTGTTCATCTTTGTTCTTTGTAACACAAGACCGCTGCTAGGAGCGATGCTTTTGGTAATACTAATTCTTCGACTTCTCATGTGGTCTAAGAACCACAATTACCTCTGGTCTATTATTCTCTCTAGTTCAACCACCCTTCTCGTTTCTGCGCTGGCTGTGGGTTCTTCGCCCGTTGTTTTTCGCAGCCGGGCTACAATCTTGTCCCAAGCACGCAGGAGCTTGTGCATATCATCTTTCGTGCCTGAGCGCGGATTGTCAGCAGGGTTCATAGCGCGAGCAAAGACTATGGATTCTCCACGGGTTCAAAGCTGTGGACACAAGTTGGTGCTCACAACAGTGACGCCGCTTTGGGACTGAACGAATGGCTTCCGAAGAAGCACTTGCGCAGCTGAGCTCAGAGCCGCAGCTTTCAAAAAACCTGGGCGCAGAGCACCGCCAAGCAACACATGCAGACAACTCCCAGCACTCATGTCGCAAACAGAACATCTGGACCCTGGACCCGTGGTTAATGACTCGCCCTCTACAGGAAGCCAAAGGGACCTTACCTTGGGTTGCGTTAACCACGTGGTTCCATTTAGGCTTCGTCTTGCGCTTGATGGACATCTAGTGTTTTGCAGGCTCCAGAGAGGGGGGCCGGGGGGTGCAATTATGCATTCGCCTCAATGTCGCTGCATGTCGCAACCTGGACCCTGAAGTGACTGAAATGCTCAACCTGGTCGCTCCTGGAGAAAGATAAGCTACAGAAAATAGCGTGATGCATTCAAGAGAGTGTCCCTGGTTAGCTCGCGATAGTGCCTGAATCAGCAAGCCCAAATTTCCCAATGCATCCTGCAGTCGCATGCTGACAGTCTAACTAGACTAGACAAGGGGATCACAACATCGGCCCATCTTAGGACTTGCCCTTTTAGCCAACATTCACCCCAGACTTACACCCGCAACTAAGGTGCCCCCCCATCTTGGTCGGCGGATTTGGATTGCGGCAAGTGGCACATTCTCGCGGTCTTTCTTGTTGCGGCAGTTCCTCTGTTGCACGTTGTGTGAAGCGACTTTGCCATCCCTTCCATCCAGAGCCTCCAAAACCCCTTTGTTCAGGAATATATCCTAAATTATATGTATAATAGGATCTCAGGAATATATCTTCAATTATATGCATAATAGGATCCCTAATATGATCTAAGGTATGTTCCTTCATTCAGGGGTGTAGGAGGCTCTGAGCAACTGTCACTCGAAGTAGCTCGAGGCTCCGCCTTGTGGGTTCCCTGCACTCTCTAACTACTAGAGTAACTATAGGCGCCTTAATGGTAACTGTCGGGGCCGTTATAACAACTATAGGGCCTTTTTCGTGGTAACTCTAGGGGCCTTGGCCTTAAAGGCTAGAGCAGAGGTTTGTTGCATGGTGTACTATCCGTGTTGATCAGGACTAAAGGGAAGAGCAGTGCTAACTATTCCGGCCTCCATAGAAGGGTGAAAGCTTCTCAGCCAAGGATCTCATTTCCGACTGAGCCGAGCACAAACCTCAGCTTGAATGTCGCAGAGAGCCCCAACCGAGCCAGCTTTGCAGCCCACGTGCTGTCATTTTCGGCTTCCCCAGCTGCAAACGTCTACGAATGTTCGGCGCATAAGAAAAGCAAGCTGAAACAACTAACTTGCCCGGCACAGGAATGGCAGCCTGCAGCTTCACAGAAACTTGTATGCAGGCTTCCTGCCAAGATACGCAACGACCAGGGTCAGATTCTTGCTGCTCCCACGGAGTCAAAGAAAACAAGCCTAGTACATTGCAATCAGTTTCTAGCCGTTCGTGCGAAGCCTGCATCAGTCAGGTTGCCAAGTCCAACATCACCCCGCTCTCAGGTTAGATGCTGAGGTCATCGTCACAGAGCACGGACCATGCAGCATTGGAGCCTGAACTGATAGGGCCTGAGCCGGCAGAATCCTTAGCTTCCAGAAAAGCCCATCAACATAACATCAACTCTAGCACCTCTATTGCCAATGCGTGCCCGAGACACTGCGGGCCTGCTGCCCCAGTTCGCGGCTGCAGATGATAGCCTTTACAACATCAACTTGCCGAGACTGTATAAAGGGTTGATTAGAGTATCCAGGCAAAGCATTCTGAAGGGCGAGTGAAGCGGCGAACGAAGACCGGTGAACCAGCCCGCGGAGGTGCTGGTGCAACGACTGCTGCAGGCGGCGTCGGCGAGCGAACTGCGCAGCTGGCCCCCTGTCGCCTTGTTGGCGAGAGAAAAGTCTGGGTTGTAGCAGCCGCAGGTATGCTTCAGTACTCTACTGAAGACATCCACCACGCCTCCGTCGCTGCATACTGCTTGGATAATTAATTAAACCCGGTTGAGCTACGTCAAAAAGCCCGCAAGATTTTTCAATAAGATTACCAGGCGTATGCGAGACACTTCGCCAGCAAAAACAGCTTATGCAGGGCCATCAGAACTTTTGCAGATGCATATCGTTCTTTTCCTGTGGCTCTCCTGTCATATACCCGTGACTTTGCGACAGGATGCGACAGGGGCCTTCCGATCAATGCTGAAGTACGTGGTGTCGACGACTAATCAACAGCAAACATTCCTTCAAGAACGCTTGCAAACACCAGCCCTCCCAGGTTGTCCACGCCAGGCACAACTTATATGCAGATAGGCTGCACGCAGTACTGCGGGCTGTTCGGCGCCACCTCTGCAGCAAAACTTGCGTGATGCTGCGTTGCTTTAAAATTTGGACATAAGCACTTGCAGTGGTGTCAGCTCGACTCACCTAGGAGACATGGCATCCAGGAGCAAACCATGTCCGTCAAACTTTCAGCAGCCGGGCGCGTGGGTGCCCAGGTACCCCTCCTACCTGTCTTCCAGCCCATATATAGCGACCATGGCACTGCAACCAGGCCCGGCGAGCGCCCGCGGGCCACAAAGGTGGCATCAGGCACGCGCGTGCCTGCAAAGACTGCGATGGACTGTGTATTTGAAGGTTCGATTTCAGCACCAGCTGTTGGACAATCCGTGTGCACCTGCTTTGGAAACCAGGATGGACAGGTCCGGCAAGAGAAAGGGACCCAATAGGGACGAAAGCCAAATGATTGATTAATTCAGACTACCATGGCCTCCTACAGTCCTACAGGTGAGTACAACTGTGGGCATGAGCTGCTCCTCTGACCGAAGATACATATTCGTCTGGCGGAGAAACCGCCCGTATGGCCGTTAGTTTATATGAGCCACGGTGTTCCAGCCTGCTTCAAGCCTGTCCATCTCTCAGTCGATTATCTTCGATTTCAATCAAAGACTGCAGTAGACGGCCTTGCACAGAGCCGGCAGGCGGCATGGCTCCAGCGTATCTCGGCGTGAGCAGCACTCCCTCACCACTGGCCTCAGGAGGACATCAAAAACCTGCAAAACCCTCAAGGCGAGGGATGTGCTGCTAGAAGGGCTCCGCTTCCGAAAGGAATCTGACGGACACTTGAGAGGTCTTGCAGCACAGCCGCAATGTTGCATGGGGACGTCGAAACCTGCTCATGGCTGCAACTTGAACCCTCTCGCATCCCGTTGGAGCCCTCCCTCCCGGCTTCACAAGTTCACCCTCGTTGCTTGCTAGGATACCAGATAACCGTTACTGCAATAGAGCTCGTGAAGCTGGAGCGCTGGCAACAGCAGATCCCGCTGTGCCTTTGCCATACGCGCAGGATAACATGGCGATGGCGTCCTTCCCGAAGCACGACCTCTGCCGACCATTGCGGGAGCGCTGCCCCTCGTCACCTGGGATGCAATGAAGCTCCCCATCACTTCAAGAGAGAGGACGGTGCAGGCCTGAAGATTCCGACGAGGTGCCGGGAGGACGTAGCTGGAACTCTGTGCCAAAGCCGGGGATGTGCCTCTAGGTGTTATGCATGCCTGCGACACAGGAGACGGCGATCTCACCAGATAAACCTGACGAGGAGGGCTTTGAGAACAAACGCGTGGAGCATGGGGCTGTGCCGCCTGGCTCGGCGCCTGTGGGGCCAGGACAACACGTCTGGCAGGCACAGGGGATCGCCCTCGCTGCTCGATCGGCTCGAAAGCCCTCACTTGCCCCGGCGGGTATGCAGCAGACCCACTCCGAACGCCCAGTATGTGGCCAAGGGCCGGCGGTGGGGCAGGACAGTGCATGGAACCACTCCATGCCGATCCCGGAGTTGGGCAAAGCATGGATCCTGGGAGGCTCGGATGTGCAATGGCTGGTCCGAGCAGTGACTGGCCATGCATGCGCGGCTCGAAGCTTGAGTGTCGTCCGCGAGCTCGACTCGCCGAATCTGCACCTGCCGAGGTGCTTCGAGCTGACCGCCGCGGACTCACATAAGTCCATCTCGGTGGAGGCACTGGAGATGGAAGCCGCGGTGAGGCTGCTGAAAGCTGCTGCCACTGACGAGGTGGCGGCGAGTAGGCCAGCTGTCTTCGCGGCTGCGGAACCGCCTGCTCTGGCAGATAACCTGAGCAGCAACTTTTCTTTATGCTTTTGCAGACTGTTTGCAGGGCGCTTATTGTTCTGGCGAACCAACCCTGTGACACTTCCTCAACTGTGCCGAGCAAGATGCTGCTGCCGCGGCCTGGAAGCTGTGCAACTTGCCATCTAGAAAACGTCGGAGCACCAGCCGGTTGCGTAGCAACCCCTGGTGGTGAAAATGAGACGCAGCCCTGCGGGTGCATCCTGCTCGGCTGTGGCCCAAGGCTGTATGTATGCCTGACAGACATGCCAGGCACCGCTGTGACATGCTGTGAACCTGACAAAGCCATCGCGGACAAGGTTGGCGCATGCCCTTGCGAGAGCCTCTGGCACCTCATGGCTGCTTGGGCTGCATGTGCTGTTGCTGCACCTTCTCCACCAGAAACCTGGCAAACACAATGTTCGGACGGGACTGCCGCACGCGCAGTGGCTCTTGTAGCTGGACACGATAGGCACAACATTCAGAATTGAATTTCTGTGGACCTGGGTACGGTTCTATCTAAGAACTTCAATACAGTGAACGTTCTGTATAAGAACCCACTGTTTAAGAACCTGAACCCCTACCCGTCGGGATTCACAAAAATCAGGTTGCTTCAAAATTAAGGTTACCCTAGCTTTCGGGGTCAAGTTCTTGTTTTATGTCGGGTGGAAGTGGTTTCGTTGTGGCTTGGCTTGTTCTGAAAAGACCGGAAACAAGAACCTTAGGGGGACAGGTTCTCAGTTTGGCGGTTCCTGGCTAATGCATGTATTTGACTGAACAGATACAGTTTCGGATTTGCAATCCTTCATGCCGTAGCCAGACCCTAAACCTTGGCTGGGCAGGGCAGGGGCAGCTGCGGGCAGGGGTGAGGGTGGGCTTGGGGTAGGGGTGGGCAAAGGCAGAAACGAATTTCGACGCTCACACTCGCACAAGGCAGGCAAGGCTCCGCATAGTCCACAGGATCGCAGCTAAAGCAGCAGCATAAGACACAGAGGGCCCATCTTCATGCAGGAAGAATAAGAGAAAACCAAACATTGAAACAATAAGTTAAGCAAGCATAGTTGTCCAACGAGCCTCCATGCAATGCTACTTGTTCTGTTTCAAAATACGGTTCGATTGTCCACTACTGGCTCTCACCAACATGCATCCAGATCCCATACAAGGACGCAGTTGCACAACTGCTTCCTTCATGTTGCTCCCACCTGCAAATTCACCGACTCACCATTGCAGGTCCATAAATTCTTGAATTCCACATGTTGCACTCCAACTGGCACCGCCATCCGGTCTGTTGGCAGACGGCCCGATTTTTGTTTCTTTTCAGTTTTTCAGGCCATCCTACCGGTGCCACCTTCCAGTGTGCCAGAAGCGTCCCTGCAGTCCACATACATGCAGGCAAATCTGGCGCCGTCATCACTCTCCACTGAGTTCTTTTGCCACTCATTGTATGCAAACAAGGCAGATTCCCCAGCCCACATCCACAAATTCAATTGCATCTGTCCCAGTGTACAGCCGAACTTTCGCATGCTTGCCAGAGTACATGGTCCACCAATTCCTCGACTCACATACATGCAGTAATGCTGTCAGTGATTTCATGGTTTCATAGCAGCATCCCAAACATCCGGACCAGTGTTATGACAGGCCCCGACAGGGAGCACTTCTCCACAAGTCCGCCGCCGCCACGTCCATGTCAGGTTTGCAGAACCTGTGACCGCTTCTCACCGGCATTCTGGCGGTGAAATACGGCTCCCTTGCATCATTGTTGAATTTGGTGGCTCCAGCAGCTGGTCCGCTCGTGAAAACCAGATTCGTATTCTGATTCTCGTAAGCCGTGTTGGAGGGCACTGTGCTGCAGTCATCGCGCAAAATGTACGGCAGGCGCAAAAACGAATTAGTCAGACAGTACTTCGTTTTTGACCCGGGCCGTGACCCGGGCAGCAAGGCAGGGTGGGGGTGGGATTGGGGGGTTGGGGGCAGGGGTGGGTAAAGGCGAAAAACGAGGTAGTGTCAGGCACTAATTCGTTTTCGCCCCGGGCAGGGTATGGCGGCCATTTTGGCTCAAGGTACATGCTGCGCCTAGATAAGAACATTGTTAAGAACCTCAGCCTACCCTAACTTCTCAGCTGGCAAGATGACAGGTAATGGTACCTAACAACCTTAGGGTAGGCTACTCTCGCGGAATGGAATTCTTGTGCAGGGATTTCACTGTACCGCGCGAATCCACATGTAGCCAGCCTGCTCCACGCTGCAGGCATACTGGATGAAGGCAGACGTGCAGAATAGAATTTTTCCCATGACCCGAGTTCGCACTTCTCAAGTTGTCACACAGCTTGCACGTTAATGCTGCTATGTAGCCCGCGGCAGTGGCAACGGAGGTGGTGGAGGCAAGCACGGCACGGCAATCGGCTCCAGAAGGACCTTGGAAGTACTCAAGCCTCGAAGTACTTCATGGCCCAGCTTGTCACTGTTGTTCGGGTCTTCGCACAATTACGCCGGTGCTCTTGCGCCAACGATTCGCTTTGTTGTCGGTCGCGGTTGTGAGACTACGACTATCAAGTAGTAGAAGTAGCAGTAGTACTAGTCGTCGTCGTCGAAGTCGTAGTAGTAGTGCTCGTCGTCGTCGCCTTAGTAGTAGTAGTCGTCGTCGTCGTCGTGGTAGTAGTAGTAGTAGTAGTAGTAGTAGTCGTCGTCGTAGTCGTAGTCGTAGTCGTAGTCGTAGTCGTAGTCGTAGTAGTAGTAGTAGTAGTAGTAGTAGTAGTAGTAGTAGCAGTAGTAGTAGTAGTAGTAGTAGTAGTAGTAGTAGTAGTAGTAGTAGTAATAGTAGAAGTAGAAGTAGAAGTAGAAGTAGAAGTAGAAGCAGTGACAGTGGCGGTAGCAGCAGCAGCCGCAGCAGGAGCACGAGCAGGAGCAGTAGCAGTAGCGGTAGGAGAAGTAGTAGTAGTAGTTGTTGTTGTTGTCGTCGTCATCGTCGTCGTAGTCGTTGTCGTCGTAGTCATCGTCGTCGTCGTAGAGTGGTATTAGTGGTAGTTGTAGTGGTCGTAGTGGTCGTCGTCGTAGTAGTAGTAGTAGTGGTAGTAGTAGTAGTAGTAGTAGTAGTAGTAGTGGTGCTGGTGGTGGTGGTAGTACTAATACAAGTACTAGTACTTTTTGTCACCCACATGGCACGCCAATGACAGCTCCGCGAAAACTTAAATGGTAACTAGTCACGACGAAACCCATTATATCCGAGTACAACTAGTACTAGTACAAGTATGCTCCTGTTACCCACCGGCCTGTTACCCCCCCTTTATCCTCTTTTGTCGCGTGCTGTGTCTGTGCCTCTTTCTCTGCGCTTGTGGATATTGCTCTGTTGTCCGGCTTTTTCCTTCTTGCTGCAGGCTTGCTTGCAAGGACGTCCGGCTTTTCCGAAAACATAAAGTTTTCCTAAAAGATAGGACTGTCCTGTTATCTGGGGTTGTCCTGTTAGATAGGGTTTTCCTATCAGGTGGGGTTTTCCTATTAGATAACGTTCTCCCGTCAGATAGGGCTTTCATAAGGGTTTCCTATTAGATAAGGGTTTTCTCATTTGATAAAGTTTTCCTGCTAGATAGGGCGTTCTTTTTAGATAGGGTTTTCCTATTAGATAGGGTTTTCCCATTAGGTAGGGTTTTCCCATTAGATAAGGTTTTCCTGTTAGATAAGGCTTTCTTATCAGATAGGGTGTTCCCATTAGATAGGGTTTTCCTATTGGATAGGGATTTGCCATTAGATAGGGCTTTCCTGTGACACGATGGTGAAAAGAGCTCTCTTTCAAATCGCTTGGCTTGGCTTGGTTTGGCTTGGTTTGGCTTGGTTTGCGTTCATAATAGTAGACGAGATCGGCTCATGGAGCATGTGCGTCTTTCGCAATGATTGTCTCACAATGTGGCAACGGAGCCCATGCAAGCGATGGGCGTTTTGCTCAAACAGTACAGGGGATCTTAGACACTGTTGCACACGTTTGCAGAATGATTTGTGGAGTACGTTGAGTAAGCATAGCAGTTTTCCATCCCCTGCCGCAGCAGTAGTAGTCGTCCTTGTCGTAGAAGTAGTAGTAAAAATTATAATAAAGTAGTCGTCCTGCCTGCTCTCTAAACTAGCAGTAGTAGTCCGCCGCCTGCTCCTCTACAGTAGCAACAGTAGTACTCCACCGCCTTCCCGTCTAAACTAGTAGTAGTCGCCCGCCTGCCCTCTAAAGTAGTAGTCCCCGGGCGGTTTGCTCCTTTAAGGTGGTAGTATTCCTCAGCCCCTTGGTGCTGTGGAGCCACTTAAGGGGGTCGCAGGAGCAGGCTGTCGGCTAGTACTTGTACTAGTGCCGTTCAATCTTCGCCCTGCCTGCGACGGAGGTGGACTCCTGCTGTGCTCCGGAGACGAACCCTTCGGAGGGGTGAAACCCTCCGAAGCCAGAGCAGCGGACCGGCTGAAAGAGCCCTGGGCACCAGCTGCAGTTTCGAAATACATCTATGCCGCCGACATGCATTGACAGTAAATCCTTGTGGCTTGATAGTTGGCATGGTTTTATTTACAAGGACTAAGCCGGCATTGGTGATACTTTCGTGCGAGCTCTTGAAGCCTTGGCTGGTTAAGCAATCGTTTTCCTAACTTCGCCTGATCTGCGCATTTTGAGTGTGCGGTCATCCAATCATGCAAACTAGAATCATCAGAGCATATCATCCCAAATATCAAGAAACATCAGAATCAGTCATGCGATGGCATGAATACCCTGAATGTACGACAACTTGGAGGTACGATAGCTCTCTCTCCGTCCCACTCTGCCCTGACGCGTTTGACCAGGGGTCCCCAATGAAATTTGTACACACACGGCCGTCAGCCGTGGTAACGAGGGCCTCCATAATGGTTGTGTTCTGCTACAGCTTATACTCTGGCTACTAGCTATGTGGTCTTCCCCGTCTTCCTGTTTTTGCCCACGATCATTGCCATTGCCCCAAACTAACCAGGCATTCGAGCCCCAAAAACAAAATGCATTCGAGGCCTCACTGGGCGAGGCTGGGTCCCCAGAAGCTGGAGCTGGAGAGTCCTCTAGCGGTCACAAAGACAGAAGCTGGGGGCGCCTTCCCACTATCGTAGGAGTGCTAAAGCAGCAAGGGCCGGTGCCGGAGAAAGCTGCACAAGCATCGGCATGCTGGTCGAAGTGCTACGAGACTATCTTGCTGGCCATGCAGTTATCATGACAAAAGTGAGTGCGGCAGTGCAACAGCCGCCACCACCACCACCACCACAACCGCAAATATCAGAACAAGCTTGCATGAAATGCACAAGCTGTGCATCATGAAGCTTCCCGAGTCAAGTGGCGCCTGCCAAACACCAACTTCTCCACACTTCCCCCATACCTTTCACCGCCGCATCTCCTGAGACTGATCAGCTGGAGGAGGATGCTGCTCTTCCGGCAGAGATGGCAGAGACTCCTCCCGACAGCGAGCTGAGGCATCGAGACTAGGCGAGTTGCCTCAGCCGGAGCACCATGGCTCTTTCCTGGAATGTCAAACATGTTCGACCTGACGCCCTTCACCGGTCACCAAAGCCTGAACCAGGTCAAACCACTCGTTATACCAGGCATGTAAATCCCTGTCAGCATTCAGGGATGCTGAGAGTACATTCCTGCTCCTGCTGCGGTCGCGGCGAAGGTGACGATTCCGATGGCGTCCTCGGCGAGGGCGTAGGCTCCTGGACGGTGCAGTCACACCTCCACATAGACACACATCGAGCCGACATGTAGTAAAAAGTATAATGCACTATGACGAATGCCATGAAATGAAACTGGCTGCAGAACAAGATCAATGTGTCGCATGTTGACTTATCTGTGCTTGCGCAGGTACATGCAATCTCACGAGGACCACCAGAGTACAGTCTGCGCACAAGTTACGTTGATTCGCCATGATAACACCTGGTGCAGGTTCCACTTTCGGACTGGCAAGCACCGCATTCCATATCGGTCCTGCACCGGCATTGGCTCTCCCGACCGCAGAGGCAGTGCTAAGGCCGAGCTGGGCTGCGGCTGCGAAGCAGCCGGCGGCTGGGGCTTCGAGGACGCAGCTTCGGTTTCGCCTATCCGCCGCGATGGAGGCTTGAAGCTGTGGGTGATGCTGTCCCAGAAGTAACGCCTCTTGTACCTGAGACGATCATATGTGCAAAAGTCGCATGACCGACTTAAGACGGTCGTCTGTTGTGATTCATAGACTGGCCGCTCATCCAGCACCTCCCTGGAGTTGGTCGTTGTCTGCATGAGTACGGCCATCTGGAGTGCATGCTCCTGCCGATACACTCCGGCCTTTACGTGCTTACCGCCGTGGACCTGCCAGCCTTGCGATAGCTTCGTCGGGGCGGTTAATATAAAAGGCGAAGACAAGGCAGAGCGCATCACTGCAGAGTTTCACTGGAACAAGGGCAGTACACCTGAAACTTGAGCGGACCTGCTGCGTGCAAGGACGTTGGATCAAGAAGCAGTCCTTGTTCTCTTTCTTGGAGTCCTCTAACCTGTCCAAGAACATGTTGCGCCTCGCCAGCATCTTCTCCTCGGGTAGTGCTGTACTGGCAGGACTTCCGCCCAATATGCACTACTACGTCGCGGTCTCAAAGTATGGCTATAACGGTCAGCAAGTATACCTTGACAAGCAGGGGCACGTGTCCGCAGAGCACGGGGCTGCTACTGTGTACATAAACGTGTGCCTGCCGAGTCTCCAGACAGAACTGGCAATCATTGACCAGCCGAATGTATGCAGCTTGCGCAGCCAAACCCCAGGACTGCACCAAGGTATCATCCGGTGGATTTCCTGCACATCGATGGTGGACCCCATCATAGCGAACAGCGTGTGTTCGTGTGTTGACAGGCAGCTAGCATTGCTTACAGAATAACTCCACCGGCTTCAGCTTCGGCTGAAGTGCTGGACAGCAGCTCCAACAGCAGCTGCACGTGTCGCCAACCCGTACTTGTCAGCTAGGGGATTACCAGCACAGTCCCGCCCCGACGTCCTAAGGGGGAGATAGCATGATGATTGGCTTGACTACTCCGGGCTGGAGCCTTTGGGCAGAGAAGGGTGCCTCCAAGATTTCAGCAAGAAAGCATAGTTTTCCTGCGAATCTATATCGGTGGACTTCCCGCCTGGAAGCACAGTGGGTTGGCAGGACAGAAGCTGTGTCAGGGTGTCGATGAGGAAGGTGTTGCGGCTTTTCCTGGTGAGTCAAGACGTCCAGACAGACAACTGAGTTGAAAGCATGCTTTTGCATCCAGCTTGCAAAAGCCTCTGCTGGGAACTAAATGCTACGAACGAGAAAAGGGGGGCAGACCCTGGGCCAACGCAGGACCAAGCTTCGCATCCTCGGCATACCTGAGTCGCCAAGCTTGGCAGCCCTTGACTGGGTGTCTGCTTGGCCGGGGAACTCCGTAGAGGGGAGGTGTTGCTGCGCGCTGGAAGCTTCAGGGTGGCCTAGTGTCCAGCTACTGGCTTTGCTCAGCCAATACGTCCACTTCAGCAGCGAACAAATTCACATGATCTCATGCATACAGACTGAAATCTGCCTTTTCACACTTTGACATCCTGTCGCTGCGATGCAGCGAAGGCACAATACCATAAGCTCCAAACACGCCTCGCGCGGCTGAGGGTAGCTGAGGCAAGTGGCAGGCGCGTGCTTCCATCATCATCATCATCATCGTCACCATCATCCTCATCATCCTCTTCATCCTCTTCATCCTGATCTCAGACTTATTGCAGGCACCAGTAGCATCAGCATGAGTTCTTCTTCACCTCGATCGACCAACAGCCATGTATGTGCATGCATATTTACACATCCCACATTATACATATACACATACATATGCACATGTGTATATGTACTCATGTGCAGACATACTGAGAAAAAACATTTGTTATGTATGCTAACCCCCCCCCCCATGTGCCCACGGTAGGAGTAACCCGGAGTCAGGATTCAAATGCACAACGAAAGTGGTAGGTTTAGGCAACCCTGGCGTAGCTTCTAGCATGTGTTTGGGAGAGGTGGATACACTAACAAACAAACAATATCTATTCGTGAACGAAAGATTTCGAAGAGATTAGTTGTCCACTCGTATTAGATTATAATTGCGGCATTGGCTTTGCAGGAGAGCCTGTGTTTGAATCTACCATGATGTCAAATCTCATGGAGTCGTCAGACAAGCTATCGTACAACCGGCCGTAAGGTGGTATAGCAATACAAAAAATATGTAGCTTACCAAGTAAAGAAGTGGATGCCAAATTCATCATCTATGAATAATAAGCGCTTCATTACATAGCTTTCTGCACGAGTGACACAACAAGATTCATGCGTGTGTGACATGGGTTCTCAGTTTGCATCAGCCTTGTACAAGACGGACGCAGTGTCGCAATACTAGCTACAGCGACGAGAGTATGAGCAACACCAGTAACAACAATAGCCGTCATCGCCACTGGCGGTTTTCATCTGTGTCACAAACAAATCTGATCTGCGTTTCATGTTGCAGCGAACCCGCCTTCAGTGCCTCCTCCTCCTTTGCTTGCTGAGCCTGGTGGGCACGAAGCTCCTTGGAAGGCCGTTTCGAGGCAGCTTTGGGACATTTTTGGTGGAGAGGGAGCGACACAACACCGATGTCGAAAGGCATCTTCGTCAGACTGCTCAAAAGTCATTCCCAGAGCCCTCGGAAAAGCCCGCTCACAGAACCCGCAAGTCTGCCTCGAACTGATCCAACTGGTCTTGAATCTGCATTCCTCAGAGTGCAGGAGACCAGTTCCAGCTGCGAGCGCGAAACGGAATCTTCCTCACCCCGCAGGTCGCAAGCCCGAAATGAGAGCCATGCTGGAACATCCACATGCGTTCTCGGCAGTAAAGATGACAAAGTACACGGACAACGGGTGCGCATCACAGAGGGTAAACCGAGTAAACTTTGCCATCCGTGAAAGCCCATGAAATCTAACCATCAGCAGGGTGCGGTGGTTCATGGCCTTTGCATCTTCTTCGCGAAAGAATGTCATCACGTTTGACAGGAAACTGTCCTCGTTGGCCTTTCAAGCAAGATTTTCACAGGCAGTGGCATCTTCTTTGGCTGGGTTCATGCAGCTCAGCAACCCCACAGTCAGGAGAGAGGAAAGTCACTGGCCCCTGTAACTGCAGAGCTGTATGGGATAGCAACTAGAGGGAATACACACCCACGCAGAGCATAACAGACTCCCGATTCCCGTCTCCCATCGAGACCTTCTTGTCCAAAAGCTGGCGATGCAGGGCCCCACACTGCGCGCGGAGGCGTTGCTTCCGAGAGTCCGCAGAGCCCTCGATGTGGCTTCGGATCCAGAAAGGAGATCGACACAGCACAAAGGCAACTTGTGCTTGTTGGCTCTGTTAAGCTGCAATTTAAGCATTGGGGTGCATAATACGGCCTGGATGATTTTGCGACTTGGGGTTGTTCGGGGAAGGCTTTGTGCTTGAAGGCTTTGCCCAGGACAACTTGCGTTGTGCGCACAGAGACGAGCGGAACTTCCACTCCACGGCACGCTCACCCCACGGCATTGCCCTTGTCGACCCACGGGTGGCGACAGATCGAGGCCAAGCGACCGCAAGCCCGAGAATATGCACACACACACACACACACCGTTCCAAGGATCCTTCCCCAATGCCCAAACAACGGTCCTAAGATTCCGAGTTGCTGTTGTTGCACTCCCACCGCTGGTAGCTTCCAGTGGCGTTATCGCAGGCCGGACAACAGCTGACTCCACACCTCTCTGCACATGTCTCCCAGGAGTTCGGTCAGCTCCGACAGCCCTGTAGACTACCAAAATTGTCATGTCATGCACGCTCCCGAGTCGTACCGGCATCTTCCGGACCGGACAAGGCACCTTTCAAGGCCTTGGAAAGGTGCTCGGCAGGGAAAAGCTCTCCAGAGGCTCGCACAAGCCTTGGAAACAGCAGCATGGGAACAGGCCAGCAAACAAGACCGCACGTGGCGACGGGCACTTCGTTTTCAGACCAAATCGGGCTCGGTATGCCCAATCCCTTCATCCCAACACCTGGCCCGTGCCAAACCACGAAGTCTGCAGATCTCCGCCCCTCCACATATCCACACATACATCAAGGCCGCGAGAGGCTGGTGCCAATACCAACACAATTACAATCGCAATGCCAACCCAAACCCTCTTAAGGCTGCCATGAGTTGACAGAAGATGCCCTCGATACGATACGCTGGGAGGAAGAGATGACAACCCCCAACAGCATGCTTCAACCCTTCTTGCTAAGAGGCCCGAGCAGCTCAGCCCCAACCCCGTGTTGTCTAGTCTATGGCTCTGCGACAGACTCACCTTCCCACCTTTTGGTCTCGGGGCTTTGTTGCAGTCTTGCGGAGGGTGGCGACCTCACCATCCTCGACACTCCCATCGTCCATCTTTGCAGACCTTGCAGAAACCGACTGAAGGCCACTAGCAGCACACTCAGCTAAAGATAAGTGCCCTGACTATGGAAACAACTTCCAGGTTCGAGCAGCGAGGTCCTCCATGTCGTGCGTCGGGCTCGCAACCCACGTCATAAGTTCAACTTAACATTTTCCACACATGCCTTGCCTGCACTCCGACACCTGCATTGTCCGAGCGGCAGCGGGGTGTCTTATCGCCGGCATCTGCGGTCGTGCGCCATTGGATTGGCAAGCCGTTCAGTTGAAGTAGCCCTTGCTTGACAAGGCAAAGCCCGAATAAGTGTTGCATGGTTCCAGTGCAGTACAGGGCCACCATACCGTCTACCTGACATGTCCACATCTAGAGATGGCTCAATGGCTTACTGAATCCAGGAGCGCAGCTGTGTTTTTTGGCTGCTAGCGATCTGTGCAGCTTGTCGGTTACCAGTACTGACATCGCACACATCGATCGTCTAACAGCTGCGCGAGTGCACCCCTTAGCAAACAAGAACGGCCAAGCGGGAAACTACACAGCTTGAGCCGAAACGGCTTTGCAAAGCACTTGTCACAGCATCTTGTCACGAAACACGGTGTTACAACTGGCAATATGACAAGCCAAGGCAATTACGACAAGGAATGCTGAGTTGTCTTTGAGAAATCGCCAAAAGCCTCCCAAAATGTGCGAAGGTCCTGCAGAAATGTCAGGGCACTTGGCGGGAGACCCTTGCAGCTGTATGCAGCCGTGCGGCACACGCGTTAGCTGACAAGCGTCGCGTCGGACCGGGCCTTACAGGCGCAGAGCCAAGAGAGGGTGAGCCGGGTGGACCTCGCTCTGACACAAAAGCGGAAGGGGCGGGAAAAGACAACAAACGCCAAGCTGCTAGCAGTACTTGCTACTTTCTGCTTCTTCTTCTTCGTTTGCCGCCGCTCGTCCCTCTACTACTGCTGCTTCGGTTCACAGTAGCTGGAATGTGTCTTTCGGCTTCACAGCCGACACACAATCCAAATTATTTAGGCCCAGCATCTAAACTTCTGCTTGAAGAACATTTGGTCGAGAAGTTCCGCGAAGAACTTTGTCCTGACATGGCTAGGTGACATGAGTCGGCCGCAAGGATAGGTGACTTCTGCGAAGTCCCTGCCACATGAACTGCCTTTTAGAGCAGACCCTAAACCCCTTTCTGAGCGCGGACTCAAGCTGTATGCCGGCCGGACCCGAACCCCTAAACCCTAAACTGGCCTGTCCAATGCGTCTCCTTCCATCAACGGGTCGCTAGGCTCCGACTTCCTGGTCTCCTGATCCAGCTGAGATCTTGATACTGTAGGGGGCCTAAATCATTACAAGACTTTGTGAGGGGAGTCCTTATCATAAGTACAGTATAATGGTTTAGTGGGCCCCCAAACTCCCAACCCCTATTCTAATTATTAAAGCCTCTGTAGTCGCCTGACCTGAGCAATGTTCCACCCTGCACCATCCGATATCATTAGACTGGCAAGACCGGGCAAGCGCAACTCTTGTCAAAGCCAGGAGTCACGTAAGACTCGCAGCGGTTCTCTGTGCACCTCCGAGAAACACTTCGACTCTGTTGCAGCTCCATGACATGGTCTGACCAGTTGGGGTGGGCCCCACTGCAGGAGATTACAGGAGCAAAGCCACATCTGAAACTGAATCTCTGGCTCGAACTTGCGCGCAGGCGTGTAACTATGCGTGTGATATCTAGGGTGCTGTACTGATGCCTTCTTCATCAGCAAAGTGCTAATTAATTACTTCGTGTTGTTCTTCTTCCATCAGTTGTGCCTTGCCGATGCTGCAATTTGTGCTTCTCATGTGGCTTTGGTTCTCATGTGCCGTTTTCGACTGACCGTTGCACCTTGTCAATTTGGATTTCCGCGTGCTGGCAATTGAGGTCCATTCGTGTTATCGCTTCAAGCCGTACTTTTTCCTCGCTGGGTGTCGGACCGGAGCAGTTTGGCCAAGCACCCTGGAACATTCCGCACCCGTCAAGAACAGTGACCTTGTCGGAGTGCGGCAGCGGTTTGACGATGGCATACCTAGGTCTGCCACATGGGGACAGCTCCGATCGAAATGCGCAGCGGTGTGCTCACATCCGCCGCCTACCAACGGCCCCTCAAGCCAGCCTCCGCTGCCCCTCCACTTTTTCCAGCTCTTTCGGCTCCTTCTCCTTTTCGTGAAGTTGATCCGTCCTCGGACAGCACAGCAGGAAGGGCGCAACATGCAATGTCGCTGGCAACTGCCAGCACGGCATCCTTTGTGTCAGCCCCACAACTCGAAAAGTCTCAAGAACAACAAATCACAAGGCTCTGATTAGCGTTTTAGGTCTGTTCGTGGGACGAACAGTGAACTTGGACGAGGTTGTCAGACGCAAGTCCCTGCCCGTTGCATGGGCGCTTGCGTCCCATTCGGCACATCGGTATCTTGACTCTAGTTTCATTAGACTTACTTTTCCAACCTCACTGCACCGACTGCGCGCTTTGCAAGTGCTCCCCAGTCAAGGAAAGATCGTTAGACTTGAAGTTGACTCCTGTAGAGACTGGCTACAGGTCGCTCCCATGACCCTGATCCAGCGTAGCCCAACACCCAGACATTGAGTAAATACTTGCTGAGACCGAGTCCGTGCTTTCTCGCTCTCGAAGTATGCCTGGCTTCTAGGCAGACACCCAGACAAGCAACAGGGCACCAGTTTTCCTGTCCTGCCCACTCCAGTGGCTAGCACATCTAGCTGGGGCAGAAGTATCACCAATGCCACGGTCTGCAATGAGCTTTCGCGTTCCGAACAAAAGACAACCTCGATGTGTTCCCTGCAGTTTGACCTGAACGGCATCCTCCGGCAGCAGCGGCTGCTCTGCCAAGCCAAAGTGGAAGAGGTCGCGAGGCACCCCTCAGCTGCTTGTTCATGCGCACCTTCTTCTGGCTGGAACGCTTAACAATTTTGTGGTATGCTGCATGGCGCCGCTCCCAGGCATTGGCAGCAGACGTTCTGTTTCGCCTCATGCAAGTAAACTACCTGGCCCTTGATTGTCTTAGCTTCTAAGCCTTGAAGCAATGGGGTGCCGAGCAGCTTTCCCCCGCATCCCGTTTGCGCGGAGGCGACGGCGACCGCTTTCGCGGGCTCCGCTCCTAGGGTCTCACGACTGGGAGTGTCCGTGTGCAAAGGCTTTGTTCGAAGTATCTGGGTCGGCTCGGGTAGTGCTGATGCAATCTCTACCTAGAATTTTCCGAGAAGCAATGCTGGGCTCTGTTCAAGCTGAGGCCCAAACCACGCCCGTGCCGCGGAGGCTCGCGGAAAAGAGGTCCTCAGGGTCGAAGGCTTCGAGAATTTGGCAGGCAACGACTGCGACGCAAAGGAAACTCTTCGCAGATGCTGTCGTCGCTTCTGAAGATGAACTCAGATCGCTGGCTCATTCACTCATTGCAGCCGCAACTTCCAAGTCCTACAGGCTGGATTTGGGGCAAGCGAGGTTGTTGCACTTGCTTCCCCGGCTGTCCCATGGATTTGTCGTGCTGGAGAATCCCGCCGAACCTCCGGAGCTCAGCATCGGGAACTGCTGCACGCAAATCCATCGTTCAACGGGTTGACATCATGTGACGCCTACTGGGCCGGGAAACGACTTTCCGCTCCTCATCGAACACCGCGCTACCCTAGGCGACCCGGCCTCGTCGAGATCTGGCCTTCTTGAGGCTTTTCTTTGGCTCTGGGGCACCTTGACAAAGCTGGAAATCTGACCATACGCGCCCTCGACGGAATCCGTGGAGTCCCGGTGCTTACGGAGCCCATGCCTTTCCTACCCTGAGCTGCACCGCACAAACCATGAATCCAGCGTGTTTGTTCCAGACAGTGCGCGATAAGTTTTGTGAGAAGATACAGATATATGAAGATAGACCTGGACTATTTGGGAGTTTCCGAAATTAGGGGTACCTTATTTTGGGGACCATATAATGAGGATTCTACTATTTAGGGTACTATGTTAGGGTCCCCTAATTTTCGGAAACTCCCATTTCTGGACACGAGAATCGGTTTGTCGTAGGCATCGCGAGCATCCGACCATGTTGTGTCTCGTATCTGCTCTAACTCTGATGTCCACCAGAATTCGTACCAGAAGCCTGCAACACCCCAACACCCATAAAGTTATAAAGTGAACAAACCCCTCCGGCCGCTGTTGGGACCGTAATGGACCATAAAGAATCTCCGAGAGTGTTCTTCGACCTGTTCCAGACGAGGATGGTTGGATGTGTCCGTGGACTCGCTGCAGAATGAGCGCTGCTCGCTTGGCCGCTCCGGTCTGTTTATTATAGGGGCCTTAGTAAGCCTTAAAAGTTAGAATAGGGTTCTGGGGACCACTATACTATAACTATAATCAGGAACCCCCAAAATAGTATCGGTAATTATTTCGGCCCCTATATTACAGAGACTCGCTTCGGAGTTTGCCGGAGCAGACGCCGAACCGTACTCAGCCCTGCTTCATAAACCCTGAGCCGATGCGGCCTGGTCGAAACCAAGGCAAAGGCGCGGTCAAGCTGGCGATGGCCTGCAGGCTTGAGAGTGCTTGAGCATGGCAGGAAGCCCAGAAGCCCTTCGAAATGGAGTCGGACAGTACCAGTCATTCAAGGAAAAGACACGATGCCTCTCTGCTTTTTCAGCTGCCTTTTTTAATCTCCTCTGCGTCGAGCGAGGTCACTCTGCTCGTCCAGCTTCGGTCCGATACTTTAACCAACATTGCAAGCTGCTGCTCTCGATGAACCTGCTGTGACCTTAGATCCTTGCATACTTCTTTGCCGCTTAATATTTCTTTTTGAAAAACCTAAGGCGACCAGCATCGTTCCTGCCTGGCAGTCGCCACGGCTAGGCGGTTGATCTGCGGCAGGGCGGTCTGTGGACCAAGTTTGCCTTGGACGGCTGGGATGCAAGGAAGGCTCTGGTAGGCATATGTAGTGACAATCCTGAGCATGTATTGATACCAACGAAGTGAACTTGACGTTCTGTGATGTGTGCATATGCAATGACCTTAATTAGCATACATAACCTGCATGGCCCGACAATATTGTCTATACGTAAAGTTGAGAGTGACGTTCGTGATTTCACTAGTCCTACTTTACTCCAAGGTGTCGTTCAAGGATCCGGTTGGAAGAACCCTGGGACGTGCCGCCCTTCGAGCCACCCCCAAACATGCCCAAAATTTGCGCTAGCCATTAGTCCGCAAAAGAGCACACACCGAACAAGTAAATTAGCACACTCATGCAACGGTTGCTGTTAATATGCCGGAGGGGATCGCCATGCGAAGTCAAGGAAGAGTAATCCCACTACTGCCATGAGCATACAATGTCATCGCGTAGTCGGTAGCACCAATCGCAACCTTATTAATACTCGCCTGCCCTCCGCAAGCCGTGCCGAGGAGATCTCGATGTGGGTCAGCCGCATACGGCCTTAACTCTCCAGAAGCATGACTACCCGCGAGCATGTGCCTCATCTCACAAGCAAATCAAAGGAAGGCGCTACTTGCCTAACATAAGCAGGGTACAAATTCGGATGGCATTACCGGCAGCAAATATGAACAGAGTACGTCAAAAGTAATTAAAACACTCGAGACGCAAGTAGCACTGGCCACAAGTCGGACTTATGAACGCTATGTAGCCTGGTCCGCGCGTTCGCGGGTTCACGGGTTCACGCGATCACGCGTTCACGGGTTCACGGGTTCGCGGGTTCACGCGTTCACGGGTCCACGGGTTCACGCGTCCACGGGTTCGCGGGTTCACGCGTTCGCGGGTTCACGCGTTCACGGGTTCGCGGGTTCACGCGTTCACGGGTTCACGCGATCACGGGTTCACGCGTTCACGCGTTCACGGGTTCACGGGTTCACGCGTTCACGGGTTCACGCGTCCACGGGTTCGCGGGTTCACGCGTTCGCGGGTTCACGCGTTCACGGGTTCGCGGGTTCACGCGTTCACGGGTTCACGGGTTCGCGTGTGCACGGGTTCACGGGTTCACGGGTTCACGCCTTCACGCTCCGAGCATCCGTTATTGATTACAATCAATCCTTTCAGCTTACTTGTTATATTGATTTTGGGGGCCTCATGGGACCTACTTTATTGATTGTTTCAATCATATTGATATTGATTTTTTTGGTTAGATTTGTATGTAAATTTGTATGTTTTCCAATTGACTTTAACATTATTGATTGTTTAGATTGATTCTGGCATTGATATTTTTTCCTTGGACAAACACTAAGCTTAAAGCTTGTTCCTTCCATCCAAAGCATAGAAGGCTGTCAACTTCGGATAAAGAAAGCAGGGTTCGGGGAAAATGAAGGTTGGGGTTGGGGTCTAGGGTTCGGGGGAATGTCGGTGGTCCTAATAAGCAGGCGAATTTCGGGGTTTAGCGGTTTAGGGATCCGTAAAGCTTTTTTTTGTGGGGGGCTTGGAGCTTGGTGGGTTTATAGGATGCACGGTTTCTGAATGTAGTTGCTTGGTTTTCGGGGTTTGTGTTTAGGTTTGCTTTGTGGTTTCATGGGTGTGCACGGGTTTGTGTTTGTAGATATAATTTTTGAGTCAGCTAAAATCATCGAACCCAATCCATGATTTTATATATTGTATATGTAGAACGAAAACCGCTATGTAGATGGATATATATATATATAATTATATATACGCACGATATATGTATATATATATATATATATATATATACATATACATATATATATATGCACGATTTTAATGTACATGAACATACTGTGTGTCTATGTGTATATGCACAGATGTGGAAATGAACGTGTTTTCCAGAAATGGAAAATCCAATTGTATCTAAAGCATAAAATCATTATATCCGATGAACATAAAATCACATATATGCAGTATAATATATATATATATATATACACATACACATATGTGTACATAAAAGATGTGCAAAAATGATTATGTATATATAATATTACCACAATCTCATCTAATCTACAATTTCGCAATCCAATCTAATTATAAAACAATCGAATCCAATCTATATTCTACATAGGAATGAAAAAGGAAAATACATGTATTAACCAATATATGTAAACAACAAAAAACGAATACATATAGAGCCCATAGCTGAACCATAGAAGTAGATAATAACTTTCAATGAGTATGAACACAATACATGAAAACAACAACAAAATAAGAGCTAGGTGGATTTATATATATATATATATAAGAGTCTAATTATAGCAAAACATACACAAAAATTAAAATGATGTCATCAAAACTATACCCCACCCTCCCCACTCCACGCAAAACCAGAAAAGTGTCGATTTCAGCCATCCCCTTGACAGCAGTAACAGCCCACCCACCCCACCGACATGACCAAACAAGCACTTATTTTAGCTGGCCCACCCACCTCCCCCGCCCTCATCTGAAAACTTGAAGACAATTCGCCCGAAAAGCATTATTTGCCAAGAGTTTTGCGCTATATAAAGTCATAGAGTCATGTACATAAAGTCATAGAGTCAAGTGCACAGAGTCAGTACATAGAATCCAGTGCATAGAGTCACGGAGTCATTGCGCGCGCAACACAAGAGTAGCAACTTAACCACGCGTTGGTGCTTTCGACCACGCCAATCCACGCAAAGGGTTGCGCGGGCACCGCAACGCAACACAAAAGTAGCAAGTTTACCACGCGTTGGTTACATTATTTTACATTTAGGATGATAGGGATAATGACTTAGGGGGATCTGGGGGGAATCCAAGTGCCTTGGTTTCAGCGCTTTTTTCACATGAGGGAGGGGGTGGGGGTGTGCAAGCGAATTAAGCGTTTTTTGTTTGGTCATGTCGGTGGAGGTGTTAAGTGGGACGGGGTGGGTTGTTAGTTGTGTCAGGGCCAAGGATAAAATCTGCGCTTTTCCGGTTTTGGGAGGTGCAGGGAGGGTGGGGTCCTTGTTACGATGAAATTATAGTATGGTCTGTTCCTTTAATAACGTTAATATGTATACATGTGTATGTATGTATATATATATATATATATACATATGGTTTATAATATGTTTCTGCTTTGTTTTTATTTATTGTTTATGTAGTTATGTGTTTCATTGTTTGGTCATTTATGTATTTCTCGTGATTTGTTTCTTCATCTATTGACTTATTCATTTACGTATTACGTATTTATTTGTTTGTTTATTTGTTTGTTTAGTTGGTTATTTGTTTATTCAGTTTCCATTTCAATTATATATGTAGATATAAAGCTGTATTACGTAGTGCTGACTTTATGTTTGATTTCAGGTGTATATTCATGTTCATTCACAGTCTTATACACTAGCTATGCACACAACATGTTTCTTCGAGGTTGTATTTACTTTCTTGCATAGATATCTTCTTTCTATTTGTTTCTATGTCGCTTACATTCGATACAGATTAGATTGGGTTCTTTTAGATTGGATTGCAGAACTGTATATAGTTTAGATGAAAGTGAAATATGTTTGTGAATAGTGAAATAGCTATTACAAATGATATTTCCAGATCGGATGTGATGTTAATGATTTTTCATTCCAGCTGAATTTGGATTTACTTGTTTATTGAATGCAAACTATATATGTATACCATATGTTTATGTACATGTACATATATATATATATATATATAGCTGCTTGATTTCAAAAAATAACTTCATATATAGATTGGAATTGATGTATTGAGATGACACTGTATATTTTATGTACGAATACAAACCCGAAGCCCTCGAAAGAGGGCAAAACCGAAACCACAAACCCGGAACAAAACCCGCAAATACATTGAGAAACCATGCACCCTAAACCCAAGAAGCTCCAACCCTTCTAAACCAGAACCCTTTAATCCCTAAACCCCTAAACCCCAAAACCCCTGCACACCGAAAACCCTTAAAGCCCTTAAAACCCCTGAACTCCCTAAACCCCTACACCCTATATGTTTACAAATTGATGTCAAGATTGATTTTCTCAGAGATTTATGTTGATTTTCATATTGATTTAAATACTGCATTTCCTCTGATTTCATGCTTTTTTCTATTAATACGAATATCAATTACGATCAACTGTTTTAATTGATTCTGATCGAAATCAAGCAGACCAAGCACTGTTGATCCTGGTCCTAATCAATATCGGATGCTCAGGGCGGGTTGAGGGGTTCCCGGGTTCGCGGGTTGACACATTCACGGGTCCACAGGCAGGTTAAACGGGTTAACGCGTTCACGTGTTCACGGGTTCGCAGGTTCACGCGTTCGCGGGTTCACGCGTTCGCGGGTTCGCGGGTTCACGCGTTCACGTGTTCACGCGTCCACGGGTTCAGCGTTCACGGGTTCGGGGGTTCACGCGTTCACGGGTTCACGCGTCCACGGGTTGGCGGGTTCACACGTTCACGGGTTCACGCGTCCACGGGTTCGCGGGTTCACGCGTTCACGGGTTCACGGGTTCACGGGTTCGCGGGTTCACGCGTTCACGGGTTGACGGGTTCACGGGTTGACGGGTTCACGGGTTCACGCGTCCGCGTTCGCGGGTTCACGCGTTCACGGGTTCGCGGGTTCACGTGTTCACGGGTTCATTCGTTCACGGCTTCGCGGGTTCACGCGTTCACGCGTTCACGCGTTCACGGGTTCGCGGGTTCACGCGTTCACGGGTTCACGGGTTCACGGGTTCACGCGTCCGCGTTCGCGGTTTCACGCGTTCACGGGTTCGCGGGTTCACGGGTTCACGCGTTCACGGGTTCACGGGTTCACGGGTTCACGCGTCCGCGTTCGCGGTTTCACGCGTTCACGGGTTCGCGGGGTTCACGGGTTCACGCGTTCACGGGTTCGCGGGTTCACGCGTTCACGGGCTCACGCGTTCACGGCTTCGCGGGTTCACGCGTTCACGGGTTCACGGGTTCGCGCACCAGCACCGGGCTAGATACTGTACATGAGTGACAAGTCGTGGCCATGGCAACAGCACGCCTACATGCAGCCGTACCACAAAACATAAAACAGGCCACAACATGTATTTGCACGGTACTGCTGGATGGATAAGAGCCAGGCGTATGACAGCCTCTGCAACAGCAGCTTCATGTGCTATGTGCTGGCATAAGAGAACAAGACCATCCGACACAGAACGTTTGCAGTTTCTCACAAGGACGACAACAGAGATAGAGCAACCTGTGGTGTCACACAGCGAGAGCAGGACGAGATGGCCTGGATGGGAGCAATATGAGCCGTAACAACAATGAGAATCTCCGTGCAGTTGAGAAACATGCAAGACTACAAGTCATATACCGGAGCCGCGAGTCCCTGATCGTGACAAATGAGAGCATGTAGAACATGATTGCTAGGCCAGAACTCGATGGTATTCTTTTGCGTCGGTGGGTTGCTTACACCCGAAATGCCAAAAAGACCAGGCAATAGACAGCTACGCAAGGCAGCCCCACATATGCCTCGCACGAAGAAGC